AACGAAATCCCCGTCTATCTATCTATCCGTAATTTAATGGCTCCTACTGCTACCCGTCACGGAGGAAAAGGTTTAAAGTGATTTAAAGATCCTTTCTATACATATATACATATCTATATGAGCTATCAAGATATATATTTTAATTACTTTACCAATTTAAATCAAGTTATACTTGTAATGCATAAATGTAAACAAACAAAAAAAGGAGAATAGAGATGAAAATATCGACATAGACATCATATTTTCTATCATCTCGCAAACCATTAAAATGTGGTTGAAATCAAACAAATACCAAAGCATTTGTTAAAATTTGACATGAAGACCGATTCTCGAGTGAGGATATACAGATATATATATATGTATAAATGTGTAATAATTCGTTATAACTTTTGTACTATTTCCATATAAACTTCGGCACGCCGAACTTTGTATACCCTTGCAGATTTCAATTAGATCGTTAATAATAACGAAGTAGAACTACTTCTACTACTTCCATTACAGTGATTCATTATAATTGTACAGTTGTGCAGTTACAGTTTTGTATTCACAGTATTTTCTCTGATTTAAGGATAGTTTCTATGGCAGCTATATGATATGGTCTCCCGATTTTCATATAAATAAATTAATTCTTGAACAAGAAAGGAAGCTATCTACGGCACGCCGAAGTTTATATACCCTTGCAGATAGAACTTCGATCACTAGGAATTAATACACTAGGAATTAATACAACGTTTAACAAAACAGGCATTGTGGCAGGGGCATTATCCTGTTTCAGAATCAATGACTCACCAAATAGCTCTTCCTTCCGGAGATATGGACGAAAAGGCAATATCGGTCAGGATCTTCAAATATTGTCCTTGGCTCATTGAAAGCATTAGATAAACGAGACAACCAGCCAACTGAACGCAATAAATCCCCGCCGCATGACAAATCCCTATTTCTGGCTCACTATTTCACAAATTGGATGTGTTTTTGTGAAAATTTTACGCTTTATTTTTTGAAGAGCTTTACATTAAAAAGCTCTCATCTGTCCATAAAACTCTTCTCCACACCTTTTTCGGCGTGTCGAGATATTTTCATTCAAGGAACAGACTACGCAGTGAAGGAGGCACCTCCGACTATATAAAGTATATATATTCTTGATCAGGATCAACAGCCGAGTCGATCTAGCCATGTCCGTCTGTCCGTCTGTCCGTCTGTCCGTTTCTACGCAAACTAATCTCTCAGTTTTGAAGCTATCTGAATGAAACTTTGAAGTTAGTCTTCTATATACTCTCACTCGTATATATGCCGGATCGGACGACTATATCATATAGCTGCCATAGAAATGATGGGATAATTTTTACAAAAAAATGATAACATATTCAATTTGAGAAATAGCCATTTTATTTTACTCTACAATTTTGTGTAAAATTTTATAAAAATCGAAATACTATATCATATAGCTCCCATAGTAACGATCGAGAAATTAATACAATTAAATTTATAACCTTTTTCAGTTTTCAACTGATTTTCATCAAATTAGAGGTATAGCCATTTTATATTAGTCTTAAACTTTGGGTCAAATTTCATGAAAATCAGACTACTCTATCATATAGGTGCCATACAAACGATCGTTAGATGTGGAGCAAAAATGCAAATCTGTGAATGTAAAACTGAAAATATAATATGTATAGGTGAATGAATTGAGAGCAGGTATTACTTCATTGTTTTTTTTTTAACATTAATATATATATTTTATATTGTATGGAAGGAATCCAGGAAGTCATCGAAGTTCTATCTGCAAGGGTATATAAACTTCGGCGTGCCGAAGCTAGCTTCCTTTCTTGTTTATTCTTAAAATTTTCCGATTGTTCCCATGGCAGGTTATTATTCTGACTAAAATTGTAATACCCCGGAAGGATACAAACATATTTGTTAGTTAAAAAAAAACAGTGCAAAACTATAACATTTTATTTCATGAACATTTGGCTAAATGCTAAAATTTCTCCTATAATTAAATCAAGTATTAATTGAAGTTGAAGCATTAAACTCGTGTTACAGTTTCGCTCGTCAGTGTATATTACGTTATATATACCATATATTTTCAATTCATATTACCTATTAAAATTATTTCCATCCACACATATATATGATATTATATATATTTATTTTAAGTACATACAGATCCGGTCAACTGAATAGGTTTGATTAATCGTTCTCACATTTTCAGTCTTTCCTTGTTGCAATTGAATCTTACTCAACCTTTTCTTTGTATTTTGAAACTTTATTTGTTTACCTATTATACGCAAGAAAAAAGTAACGCGACAAATCCAACTGTTACTAAAATTTTTCTCTTATCAAAAAATTCGATATATGTATGTGTGCTTAATTTTTGGCTCATCTGAATAGGTTTTGCACTTTTGATTTTACTTATTCTTCGACTGCGTGATTGAAAAGAGTAAAATCCTTTGGTTTTCTCGAACTTAAAGCATCAGTTCTCAGTTTTCTTTAACGAGCTGCGGAAAGCCTTTAACCAATTTGGAAAAGGTCAAATAAAATGATATATCGCATCTGGCTTTAAAGATCATAAAAAAAACTAAAAAATCGGTCAAAGTCAAATCGTTGTAAGTAATTTTCTATGAAATGAAGCAGACAATGGGACAAGGACAAGAAAGGAAGCTAACTTCGGCACGCCGAATTTTACATGCCCTTGCAGGTAATTTTACAAGCCCTTGCCCCTGGTCACTATGAATTAATAATATTATATTTACAGTTTAACATTCACAGTTTTTTGTTTTTTAAGTCGTCGTTACTCCTGTGCAGATGGAGTAACGGTGTGGGGAGCCATGTCTTTCTATAGAACATGTGACCTCCAGTTTGTACAAGAGTGAGTGTGCTCGAAAAAGCTTTTCCCCAGTTTTCTGAGATGTGTGGTCGGATTCCACGAGTATACCGAAATGGCAGCGCTACGATCCATACCGCTCGGATTGTAAAGCAGTCGATTAAACCCCAAAATGTCAAATTGCTCGAGTGGCCGCCTTTCTCCCCTGACATTATCATTATGGAGAACTTTTGGGGACTTTTGTCCAAAAGAGTACACACGGAGGGAAGATTTGATGCAATTAAACAGCGTGGTCGACAATTTCACTAAATGAAATTGAAAAATATTATAACTCTTTACCAAGCCTTATGTTTGAATTAATTACGAACAAGAAAGGAAGTTAACTTCGGCACGCCCAAGTTTGTATACCCGAAGTTTTGTACACCCTTGCAGATTGAAATTCGATCACTAGGAATTCAATATAAATTATATATATTTATGTTAAAAAAACAATAAAGAAATGCCTCCTTTCATTTCATTTACCTATACATTTTATATTTACTGTTTTACATTCACCGTTTTGCATTTTCCTCTATTTTTAACGATCGTTTGTATGGCAGCTATATGATATACTAGTCCAATTTTCATAAAATTTTCTAGAAAATTTTAGATTAATATATAATGGCTATACATATATTAAATTAGATGAAAATCTGTTGAAAACTAAAAAAAAAGTTAGAAGACTAACTGCAAAGTTTTATTAAGTTAGCTTAAAAACGAAGGGACTTGTTTGCGTAGAAACGGACGGACGGACGGACGGACGGACGGACGGACGGACAGACGGACAGACGGACAGACAGAGTTGTTAGTCGAGCCAACAAAAAATTTAAATTTATACTACGTTTTAGAAAAAATAATATAAAAACAAAATTAGCAGAACACAAACTTTGCCATTTCACTAAAGACAAATTTCTTAATACAACAGAATTTATTTCATTTAAATCGGAGTGCTTGTTACAGAAATACAACGAATTAACCTAAAAAAAAAACAAATGTTAAACCTATTCAGGTATATGTATATGTATATACTTGAAAAATTTTAAGTAATAATGAAATGTAATAAAAAATGTAGCATTTCGTTATTACTTTAAATTTTTGAAACACGGACTGGTTGTTTTATATACTACTATTAATTTATATATATTAATAAAACATGTTGTTAAATTTCTTTATTTCTTGGTTGTCCCTATGATCTATATATATCGAATATTTATTGGTAACAAAAATTGCATTTAACTTTAACATATTAGGCTCCAGAGTTTGTAATTTTATTTCGCATAGGTTTACATTACAGTAGATATAGAAATACATACCTGTTAAATATCATCGTGTTAAATAGGCACATTATTCTTATTAACTTTTTTATCTCTATCTTCAAAAACAAACCCATTCTCTATCTATGATTGCTGGATGGATTTTTCTAAGAATTCATATATAATTTCTCTAACTAGTCATATGAGTTATTAGACTTTAATTAAAAAAAATATATATTCGCAAACCTTGTCCTTGCCAGAATTATTGTTATATCATTATTATTTTCTTCTTTAGACCAAAATACACTCTTTCAGTCTTTTCCTAAACATACAGATATTAAAGTGCTAAAAGTGTGTGAGACATAGGAACAAGAAACACGGTTGTTTTTAAATATATATTATTTTGGAAATTTGTTTAAAAAAATCACAGTTTATATACATAATAGAAAAAGGATTATTTCAAATCAAATCAAAAATCAACATTAATAAAAAAAACGCACACAACAAAAACGATTGGGGATATATATATACAGTATATTAGGATATCCACAGAACCTTATTGTAAAGAAATATATTAAACACAATCAACGTTTTCTTTTAAATAATTTCTGGTGGCAGCCTATACTTTAAATGTAGTATGTATTAGGTGACATTTTTATTTTATTAACTAATAAAATAATAACCAAACATATACACATTTATTTCAGATTCTCGTCCAAGTCGATAGTGCGAGTTTAATTAAATGAAATTCAAATTTTCAATAAAAACTATAGATATGTATGGAAATCAGTATTTGTTGTTTGGCTAATTATTTATATTATTAAAAAAAAAACACTTGTCTAAGCTTGCCAATACATTAAAAAATCATATTCACAAATTCTTACCGGTACTGAAATCTGCTCGGTTTGCACGCAAGGATGTTTTGTTTATTTAAAATTAGCAATTTTAATATTTGTTTATCATTTTATTTTGTTATTTATTTGGGGTAAATTTAATATTTTATTTGATTATTATTTGATATATATATATTATATGACATATATATATGTATATATATATATATAATATATATATATTTAATTTTGGTTGAATCATTCAGGTTTTAGCATTATCAATTAGCATAGTTAAAAGGACGAGATAGTACATAAAATTAATAAATATAAGATTTGTTGCACTTGTTTTTTCTGGCATGTTTTGTTTTTGTTTTAATAAATAAATACGATTTCAAAGTCTTAAGTTTTTGTATACACTCTCTCTTTCTCTTTTTAAAAATTATAAATATAAATGCGGATTATTTATCCGTTTGTTGCTAACAGTGACCTGGATCAGAAATAATTTAAATCTGTCTTCAGTTATTATAAAAATTGTTCTTATTGTACATTTGAAATATATTTTCAATTTTGTGAAGTTGCTATTTGAATATTAATATTTTTAAATATTATTTTTACAACTAAAAATGTCATACTCTAAAAAACTAAACTTACATAATAATATTTATTTTTTTACAAAAAAAATGCGTATGGAATATCATTATGAAACAAGAAAGAAAGCTAACTTTAGCACGCCGAAGTTTGTATACCCTTGCAGATTGCAATTCCACCAATAATTTAATACACCATAAATTAAAATACATCGAGTAACGCCATACATACTATATTTACAGTTTCACAATAAGAGTTTCCCCAACATTAAACGATAGTTTCTATGGTAACTTATTAAATAGTCCGCCGATTTTAGTAAAATTAAATCCGAAATTCTAGAATAATTTTAAATGGCTCTATCTCGAATTTGATGAAAATATGTTGAATACTTAAAAAGTTATAATATTTAATTGTATCATATTTTCATAAAATTAAGACAAAAAAAATTTAGAAAAATATAAAATGGCAATATCTCAAATTTGGTGAAAATCTGTTGAAAAAAGGTAAAAATTTTCGAAAAATGTCCTGTTTTTCCTATGGCAGTCGAATAGTAAGAGTATATAGAAGAATAACTGCAGTTTCAATCAGATAGATTTAAAATTGAGAGAGAGACAGAAGGACATGGCTAGATCGATTCGGCTGTTAACCCTGATCAAGAATTGACCGGAGATGATTCCTTCACTCAGTTGCAAACTTCTAAACATATAGTTATACCCATCAACAGCAGAGTCGATCTAGCCATGTCCGTCTTTCCAAGTATACACAACTAGTCCCTCAGTTTTAAAGCTATTTGAAAAAAAAACTGCAGATAGTCCTTATATGTTCTCACTCGTATATACACGAGTCGCCAGATCAGACGATTAGAGATTATTGTTGCCAAAGGAGCGATCGGAAAATTTTAAGAAAAGTTATATAGCTATATGTAATATTTTAACTTATTTGCATCTACTTTGATATTAAAGAAGGTAAAATTAATAAATAAAACAACTTTTTTAATATATTTCCATCTATCCTGAGATTTGGCCACTTTATTATAAATCCAAAAAATCGGTTTTAATTTCTTCAAATCGGATGATCATATTACACCAATGGAAAAAATTAAGGGATCAAAAAAAATTTTAATTATTAAAAAAGAAAATTGTAGCTGTAAGTGTCTAGTTTTTGGGTCTAAGCGCGAAAAGTTATTCATTTCAACTTTTTTCCAACTAATTAAAAAACATTTTTTTTTAATATTTTGATTTTATTTACGTCCACGGAGTTTCAAAAATATTTGTCAACATAACCAGTATATGGATCACATAGCTTGTTTATTCAGCTTTAAAATAGGTATTTTAAATCCTCGATACGAACTCGGAATTACCGGTCTTTGAATAAAAAAGGATCATTTTGTGTTTGATTATCAAGAGCTCTTTAACTAATGGTCGCACAGAAAATTGAAGGTGGGTTAAGAAAACTTGAATAAACTTCCTTCAAAGAGATGAAATTTTTTTTTTTTTTGCAAAAATAATTTTTTTTGCATTCTTGACTTGTTTTTGAAAATTCAAATTCATAGTTTATTATACTATATATATATACTATACTATATATATATATATATATACTATACAAAATTCAAATATTAATTCAATTATCAATTATTGTCTCTACAATGATTTTTTCAAAGCTACAGCCTTTTGAAAATCACCTAAAAATTTGAACATTCTTTTTGATCCCTTAATGTTTTGCATTAGAGTACATAGCTGTTATAGAAAATATCGATAAATGTAAATGAGAACTCAAAACTGTAATTCTAAAAGTGAAACGGTAAAACATAATAGTAAATGATCCAATTGAAAACTGCAAGGGTATACAAACTTCGGTGGGCCGAAGGTAGCTTCTTCTTGTTTTTAATAATTTATTAACATTTCGTTTTATTCGCTTTTAACATAATATATACCAGGATAGAATGAAATTAAAACATATGTTTTATTGCCAGAAGTCCGCAATTCAGGGAATCAATACTTAATCACCGATTAACTAAATTCTAAATTCTAAATTTCTGTATCGACATTTTGCACTCCTCGCCACTTGAATAGGACACCTTTTTATACAAGTTTTTTATAATAAGTATCCAAAATACTTCTAGTTTCGGGAACGAAATTTTGCGCCACTTAAACATAAATCACAGTATAGTAGATTTTTATTTATTACTTTCAATGGTGTTTTGAAGTTTCCTTGCCGAGGTCATAGAAATAATAGTTATATATTTGTATATATTTGTCGTCGGATGCTCCGCTGTAATTTAGGCTTTGTAGAAGCTGGTACGTTTTATACTCTTGCAGGTTATTATAATTTCAGTTAAAAGTTTGCAACGCAGTGAAGGAGTCACCCCCGACCATATAAAGTATATATATATCCTTGATCAGGATCAACAGTCGATCGGTCTAGCCATGTCCGTCTGTCCGTCTGTCCGTCTGTCCGTCTGTCCGTTTCTACGCAAACTTGTCTCTCAGTTTTGAAGCTATCTGAATGAAACTTTGTAGTTAGTCTTCTATATACTCTCGTATATATTTGGGAACGGGCCGGATCGGACGACTATATCATATGGCTACCATAGGAACGATCAAGAAATTAGTACAATTAAAAATTACAACTTTTTCAGTTTTCAACAGATTTTCATTAAATTTGAGATATAGCCCTTTTTTATTACTCTGGAATTAACATTATTATTAGTTATTTTCTTTATTGCTTTCAATGTAAAGAGGAACTGCAAAGAGAGTATACAGGGTGGCGAGGAGTGTTTTATTAATTTTCTTGTCGGTCAGGTGTTTTTAGGTCTTTGGCATTGTAAAATTCTTACCTCAAAGGTTTATTCTTTAACATTTTACTCTAACTTTAGGAATAATATGTTTATAGTTTTCTTTTACAAATATGCTTTTATATGAAAGAGTATATACGTTTCGGTTCACCGAAACCATTAAAACCATATCTTGAAAAATGTAAGAAAAAAAATTCAAGGCAATTAAAATCATGCAGCTTTTGTGTAAAAAAAAAACATATATATTGTGAATAATACTTTAAAAATTTGATTTTGTTTTAAAATTTATTAGAAACCAAAAGCAGAGTGATGGTCAACCAATCAATCTTTTCTGGGTAAGAAAGAACTCGCAAATAACTGTTGAGTGTACTGATTAAATGATTATTATAATTTTATTACGAATTGTAAAACTTACAAAGTAAACAATTAAGACTGTGTCTATTTCCCCTGTCATCCAAAAACGCCCTCTTAATGAGTTGCTATTAAAGGGGCGTAACAATAAAATTTCTTAACAGAGATCGCTTAACTGGCTACCAAAATATAACAGAAACAACTAATACAACGAAATATTATTTACGAGTTGCTTTTTCTTACATACATATTTATTCGCTTGAATGTTGAAAAAATGTAAAAGATTGTTAAATGTGCACTGAACTTGGGGTACTTTCTACATTAGATGGCAAGTTTCTAACTTGGAATTTCCCAAACGCTCTCATTTAGAAAATGAAATTAATAAATAAATAAAAACGCAACATAAAATAAACCTCTCCTATAATTTGCATTTCCGTAAGTTAATTTATTTTAATCCGCTTTAAAAATGAAGCAGGAAGTTCAACGATAAATGCTATGTATTATTTGTAAGCAGACAAAAATAAATACACTCATAAAGATAAGATAGATATTATAATAGAAAGAGAGTCAAGAGAACTAGAGGAAAATAGAAATAGACTATATAGATATTAGAGAAAGAGAGCTTAACAAAATATATTTATATATCTAAGTTTGTATTTATTCCGATCTACAGAGTATCTAAAGAGAGAGGACAACAAGGAATTGGAACTTTCGAATTATGATAACACCTCCAATGTATAAAAGTTCGGTTGCAGGCAAATTTATTTACATACATACATAGGATGCCAATAGATTTTTTTCTCTTCGGCTTTGCCGAATTTTTTCCTACCAGATTTAGTTTATAATAGGCTTTTTGTTTTCAAACACTTTCATGCTTTTTCGGATATCTATATAGACTTTTCTTTTCAGTTCATAGTCTGTCTCTAAGCTCCTAATCTCTCTTTTTTTCCTTTAAAAAATCTAAAAAGATCAGAGTTTCAGTGTGCCCACAGGACCAAATAAAATTGTACAATTATATAAATAAATAAAAATGAATAATAATGAAACTGTTAATAAAAGGATAAGCCATTTTTGTAGACCTGGTGCATGCGAAACCAGAAATTACCAGTTTTTACTTTTTGCTTTTAGTTTATAAAACTGTGGCTGGATAAAAATCAATTAAATATTCAGACACAAATTTATTGTTTGTGATTCTTTAAAAATGAAACACAAATAAAAACAATGTCCTAAGTATCTGTGTTAAAGATATATTAGTAATGTCAAAATGTATGATCGAATGTTTTGAAATTAAATTTTCAAATTAAATAGAAAGAAAGAAAAATGATTGGAAACTAAAACAAAAATATATTTATATAACAAAAACCTATTAAATATGTGGTCGGTCTTTTCGAAGAGTAGATTCTCACTACTTGATTGATATTCAAAATAAAAATACGAGACTTACTTGAGTTTGCAACCGAGTTAAGCCACGAATCCATAAAATCTGTCCAGCTCTCGGCTTCTTATCCGAATCAATTGAATCGAAACGCTCCTCACCCAAATTCATAGCATCTGTATATTCCTCGGGATGTCCACGCCCCCATCTGTAATATATATTTGATCAAATAATAATATTAATAAAATAACAAACCTAATACTTAAATTTAAACTACGTTTTACAGACGTCCAAAATGCATCTAAATAATTGACAAAATATTTACAAATTAGCGAATAGGTCCCTATCTTATTTATTAAAGGTGCAGGCTTCCAGAGGCACCATCGACTAGGCTTTATACCATCGAAAAAATTCATCTTTTCAACGGCGACGGTAAGCAAATATTAGAACATAAAACTAATTTATATCTTTAAATTTTTAAGAGACTACCTTCAACATTTAGATTATAGTTAGTTATTAAATTAAACTATTAAAGTTAACTAAGGACTATTTCACAGCCTCAACTTGTAATATATTTAATTATGATATATATAAATATATTAATTGACTTTCTTGAATAAATAAAATAATATAATTAATTTAAATACTTATCACATACTTACACTTGGAGAACTTAGCTTTTATCTTATAAGACCGCTGATGGCCATATAATATATGATGTGGGACTCATGCTTGTTATTTTTATATTTATACTTATGTTCATTGTTATGGTTTAGTTCTTGTAGACTGCAGCAGACCATGAAATATTTATTTTTTATACATAAAATCTAAAATACTGAATTATAATACACTATTTTCGTTTGTTTTGCAATTAAACATATACAGTAAAAGTAATACATAACAATTTTAAATTTATAAACATAAACATATGATTATTATATCCTTTCTCTTGCATTCCTTAAGTTTAAATTTCCAAAGTAAGTAATTTATCCAGAAGCGAGTGCGTTTTAAGCGTAGTAACAAACGGTTATCAAACATTTACTCACGATAATATTTTAGGTAATTTTCGCGTAGGCACTGAGGTTATAAGTTGGCCCCAAACAAGGGTGCCAATGCCAAAGAATATACACCAGAGCCATTGGTCCAGCGACAAGGCCTTGGTTGAGAAAGCCATTTTTCCGTATTGTATAATAAACACCTGGAAATAAAAATAACAATTAATAAGGAGGTATTTTTATACACTTTCTGGCATTTTAATTTAAGTCAGAATTTTAGAACGCAGTGATAGAATCATTTCCGACCCGGAAAAATCGGAGTTTTTAGAATTTTTTTTTATATTTGCATCTACTTTTAGACAAGCCTATGCTGTACTTTTGCGGATGATTATATCATATCTGTCATAGAAATTATTTTTAATGTATAGGAAAATGCGAAACGGAACTACACTACAGTTTCGCATTTTCATCTATATTTAACGATCGTTTCTATGGCAGCTACATATATAAAGCGAAACCCAAACCCGAAATTCTGGGAATTGTGATCGTGAGAATATATAGCACACTAATTGTAAAGTTTCACGGAGATAGCTTAAAAACTGAGAGATTAGTTTACGTGGTAACGGACAGACGGACATGGCTTAGTCGACTCAGCTGGTAATGCCAAATCAAGCATAATCTGAAATAACTCCTTTACTGCGTTCAAAACACCTGACTTTCATTATATTACCATGTTAAGGTACATAAAAAGAGGCAGTAACAGCATGAATATGTATCGCTTTGGAGCCAAATTTATAGTTTACATACTTTCCACATTGGTGCATTGGTGCACTATGGGGGCGAACAACCTCTTTTTATGCCCAAAACCCATTTTAACATTTTAAATTACATGTTTTGTAATCAGAATGTTTTCAAAAAACATCTATTTGTAATGTTACATACAAGAAATTTTAACAGAGCGCGCCATTGTTAAGTTAACAGCTGTTAAGTCAGCAAGTTCAAAGTGAAAATATATGTAAGTGTAATAAGTGAGATTCTTTTGACAGCCAATCCATTTTCTGGGGGCTTGTAATATGTGTTGTAATCGTGGATTGTAGAACATAACTGTGGTGTCCCGATAACCTTCTTTAAGTTTTAACTTTTTGAAAAAATTAAAATTTTAGAGTATTAAACTTTTTAAATAGAGCTACAAAGTACATTATGATTATTTATCTATTCTTTTTATGTGATGCTAGTATAAAAGTGCACTTTTGCGCACTTTCTCTGAAATTTAACTTTAAAGGTACTAACCTTACCTATGGAAAATAGCGTTTTTCACATATAAAGCGCTAAAACTGACGGATATCTTAGGATATTGGAACTTTTTCTTTATAATATACTAAATATGTATACTTTCAAGTCTTTTTATAGAAAATTCGGCTCTTTCAGATCGTTTTTTTGAAAAACAGTGTGTAGTATCATAGAATACTGCATATGTGCATTGATCGCCTGAGCCATGCAAAAAGAGAAACTGTAGTTCTGTGTGAAAAATTATTTTTAAATCGATCATTTCTACACAATTTTATTATTATTCTATAATATTTAATATGTAATAAAAAAAATCTACAAATTTTTTACACTGAAAAAAGTTATATCCTTAAAATATGGCAGGAGCACGCTCATTTTTCTCAAAAAACCTTATTTTTTCAATAATAAACTTCATTCAAAAAACAGATCTTTAAAATATTACTTTGTTTTGAAGATATTAATAAATGCCACAAAAGGTGGTCGTTCGCCCCATAATGCGGTGGAGCTGTCTCCCCTGCCAGTTATATAAATTTTAAGTGGCACTAAGTTCTCCTACCCTTGTACCAAAGACGTTATAATTAATCATTCATTTTAATGCAGTACCACATGTCATCCATAGGCCACTGTCATCAACAGTCATCAACGCGCCTACTGCCGACTCTACCGAGTCGACGCTCTGCCTACAAATTCAGTTACGACGGCAGTCTCGTCGGAAGTCGTCGACAGTATCATGGCTCGGCCATTGATGAATTGTTGATACATTTTTGATGAATCATTAATTGTTGACGAACTTTTTTTGATGACAGCCTAGGACATGCCCTTTTTAAATTCATCAGTAATTTGTACGGCCATTAATCGATGAATCATCAACAACACCGCCTTGACTGTTGATGAATCGTTGATTAATTACTGATGAATGGTACTGCAGGGTTGCTTGTTCTTGTGTTTACGCATAGAAGCAAACGCATTCTATTGTTCGATTTTTACGCTCTAAGCTTTGTGAGAGCAGGGAGAGCGCCTTTGTCGTTTGAATACAAAAATTAGCCCATATGGCAAAACGAATGTATGGTCGTAAGGCATCTTATAGACTCTAATGTCTTTGCTTGTGCCTTTTTGCTGCCGGGTATAACTTATGTAACAGCTGGATAACAGCAACAAGCAGGAAAAAAAGCTATCTTCGAATCAATACAATATAAATTAAATATATTTACGTCAAAAACATTTTTACAGTTACAGTTTTACACTCACAGTTTTGCGTTTTCATCTATATCTAACCATCGTTTCTATGACAGCTATATGTAATAGTCGTCCGAGAGTGTACGAGAGTATACGAGCGAGAGTATATAGAAGACTAACTGTTAAGTGTCATACAGATAGCTTCAAAACTGAGACAAGTTTGCGTAGAAACGGACAGACGGACAGACGGACATGGCTAGACCGACTCGACTGTTGATCCTGATAAAGGATATATATACTTTATACGGTCAGAAATGTCTCCTTCACTGCGTTGCAAACTTCTGACTAAAATTATAATACCCTGCAAGGGTATAACAATAGATTCGTTGCTTAATAACTAAGCCGTATTTAGCTGTTACTGAAGAAAAAGGCCAGCTAAAGGTGTATGTCTAAATGTAAAAAACAATTAAATTTAATTTGAAGTATAATGATTGATTGATTGATGATGAAAAAAAAATAATTTTGATATAAAATTTAGTTGTTAAATAGGGTAGTTTCAAAAAATTTTAAATAACTTACCTGTGATATCATTGTAAATATCCAAATGGTATAGAATATTGGATTGGTAAAGAGTCCTTCGATAACATTACGCTGACCATGAATTTTTCGGGCATTTATCTCATTGAACAAAGTCATCATGACAAAAGTGTTAAAGATAATGGTAAAGTGTTGTGTTGGGCCAGCATTGAGTTCTTGTCCACGACCCGATTCGATATCGAGTATTACGTCGCCTGGAATTTGAATTGTTGAAAGTACTATTACAACACCATTGCCTTATGTATTGTGATGTTAGATGTTTGAAACGTAGTTAGGAAGACAGATGTGACCCTACAAACTATAATATTCTTGACCAGCATCCAGTGATGTCCGCGTCCTCTCTTGCCTCTTAGATTTGGAGCTATCTAATTAAACTTAGCAAGTTGTATTCTATTAATAGTATGACTGTCAAAGAAACTCAACAAATAAACAGCTGTGACTATATAAGCAGAATAAATAAATATTATATATGTATTGCTAATCATGAAAAACCTTAAGATACATTTTATTTACGCAAATAATTTGCTATTAATTATTCGGTTCTCTGCCTTCAACTTTATAGCGTAGTAGTACATAAGTAATATACAATATCCAGTCGGTTCGAATTCATTGTAATTTTAATTTATACAAAAATTAGTTTACAACTCATAGCTGGAAAAACGTGCAGTGTGACCCTTTTCACTAATTTTCTTATATTTCTTCGGTCACACGAAAAAAAAACAAAATCGTTGAACTTTAACTTTAATAAGGGTACATTAACTTCGGCCTACCGAAGTAAGCTTGGTTTCTTGTTTCTGAGCTAACTTACCCACAAAAAGCAAGCCAAATATTATGACCAATTGATACAAAGCTTGACCCAATATATTCTTCATCATTGTGCGTGAAATCAACGGCTTTGTGCGACCATAAGGCTTTCGTAACAATAAATCTGGTGTTGGTAGTTCGGTGGCCAGGGCCAAAGAGGCCAACGTATCCATGATAAGATTAACCCACAACATTTGCACCGCCTACCAAGAAAATGTAATTAGCATTGTACATATTACTAGAAAGATATATCCTACCTTAAGTGGTGAATCCTGCACAGCGCACGCACCAATAAATGCAACAATAACAGCAACCACATTCACCGTCAACTGAAACTGCAGAAATTTGGCAATCGAATCGTAGACGTTACGACCCCACATAACAGCCTTGACAATGCTGCTGAAGTTATCATCAGTCAAAATGATATCAGAGGCTTCTTTGGCCACATCGGTGCCGGCTATGCCCATTGCAAAGCCGACATCGGCCTTTTTTAATGCAGGCCCATCGTTTGTACCATCGCCAGTTACCGCCACAACTTCACGGTTTTCACTAACTGTGCTGTCAATGATTCCTGTTGAATAAAGAAGTATTAAATAATATGTTGTTTTTTTTTAATTAAGGCTATTGTATAGTTAAATAAATAATTCAATAATTTGTTGTCATTATATTTTATAGCCAATACATTATTTTAAGCCAAAACTGTTGTGTTTAATTGCTTGCATATGCTTGATACATCTATATTTCAACTTCCGTTCCCAATAAACAGACTTTTTGTTTAATATACCGAACTTGGTTCAAGATGAGTCTAAGCTTATTTAAAACTATGTTTTATGATGATAATTTAGTTTTTAAAATAATAATAAACAGTAATAAATAATATACAAAATAAAAAAAATTAACGGTTTTGCAATATCGACATTTTAAATATTGAATGGGATTCGAATGTCACTAGCCGTTGACAGCTAATTAGAAAGATAATTATGAGGTGAAAACGGTTTTGCACTTTTACTTTTCAGGGAACATTTAAAAAAATGGGACTGTTTGTCGAACTATATGCAGGATTTATGAAATTTAGATGGGTCTATAAAAGAATTGCATTTTACGCATAATCATCTGGGACAGCTGTTCAACGGCTGTATATTTTAAATTTCGATATATATTTCATAACATACATATTTACATTATTTTGGGTATAATATTGGGCCCAATACTTTCCTATTCATATATATCTCGAACTGTTTTTTTTTGTGATGTTTTTTATTGGCGACCTTTCTTTTTCTTGAAGTTGTTGATTAGGTCATCAAGGAGGGGGGTGGTGTAATTTATTTAATTTTTGCTTACATCATCCACGCTCCTTGATCTTAAGCCAGCTAAATAAATTGTTTTATGAAATAAAGAAGTAGAGCACCAACCTTTCACTAAAGTATACTTGTCCGTGGGTGATGAACGTGCCAAAACGCGTAATTTGGGCCAGACCTTGTCAATTAAATGCTGTTGAATCTACAAAAAAAAAATATATATATAAAAATACTAGTCTATCATACATCACAAATTAAAAATAAGAAAAACTAACATCTCCATTGCTATCTCTTATCCGGCGATTGAATTCCTTGCCTTCGAGTATTAGGAAATCATCGTTTGGACGCAAAATACCACATTTACTGGCTATCGAGCGTGCCGTATTTATATTATCGCCAGTCACCATTCGCACCGTAATGCCGGCTCTTTGGCACTTTCTGATGGCATCGGGGACCTCGGGACGTACGGGATCTTCTATGCCAACCACACAGAGGCAGGTCAGGTTTGTCATTATGTTTTCCTCATCGTCCCAATTGGGTTCTCCATCGATGTGAACTTCGTTTACTGCGGCTTTGCCGGGTACAAAGTCACGGTAGGCTACCGAAATGGTGCGCAGGCCATCACAAGCCATAGGTTCGATCACTTCTCGTATCAAGCGCTCTTGCATATCACGAGTGAACTTCTCAAGGGTACCCTCATGACCGTAGATAAAAGAGCATCTGTTATAAACAATTAATTGAACAATTAATACGTACAATATTTTTCTATTCAACATTTTTAAAGCTCACTACATAACAGTTTATTAAAATATATTAATATTAATAATAAGGTTAAGGCGGGGCGTAAGGTATTTAATTTTGTTTCGTAATTTTTTTAAACATTTATTTCAAATGAATGTTTAAGATTATAAATATAAATAAGGAAGCTAACTTCGACACGCCGAAGTTTATATACCCTTGCAGGTTGCAGTTTGATCACTAGGAATCAGTATAATATAAATATAACTATGTCAAAAAAACATATTTACAGTTACAGTTTAATATTCACAGTTTTTCATTTTCCTCTACATCTAACGATCGTTTGTATGACAGCTATATGATATAGTAATCCGACTTTCATATAATGAAACCCGAAATTCTAGAAAAATATTTTATACAAGAAAGGAAGCTAACTTCGGCCCGCCGAAGTTTAAATACCCTTGCAGATAGAAATTCTATGACTAGAAATCCATACCATATAAATTATATATATATGTGTTTAAAAACAATGAAGTAATACCTGCTTTTATTTCATTCACCTATACATATTATATTTGCAGCTTTATATTCACAGATTTGTATTTTTCTTCTACATCAAACGATCGTTTGTATGGCACCTATATGATATAGTCGTTTGATTTTCATAAAATTTTACACAAAATTTTAGAATAATATGAAATGGCTATATCTCAAATTTGATTAAATTCTGTTGAAAACTAAAAATGTTATCGCCACCGCGATTGTCAGTCTTCCGACAACAGCCACCGCCATTCTCATTCCTCTCAAATTTCTCGATCGTTCCTATGGGAGCTATATGATATATTAGTCCGATTTTCATAAAATTTTACACAAAATTGTAGAATAATATGAAACGGCTATATCTCAAATTTGATAAAAATCTGTTGAAAACTGAAAATGTTATACTTATTAATTGAATTAATTTCTCGATCGTTCCTATGGGAGCTATATGATATAGTCGTCCGATTTTCATAAAATTTTACACAAAATTGTAGAATAATATTAAATGGCTATGTCTCAAATTTGATCCAATTCTATAGAGAACTGAAAAAGTTAAAATTTTTTTGTAAAAATTTTCCGATCATTCCTATGGCAGCTATATGATATAGTCGTCCGATCCGGCCCGTTCCGACATATATACGAGTGAGAGTATATAGAAGGCTAACTACAAAGTTTCATTCAGATAGCTTCAAAACTGAGAGACTAGTTTGCGTAGAAACGGACAGACGGACAGACGGACAGACGGACAGACGGACATGGCTAGATCGACTCGGCTGTTGATCCTGATCAAGAATATATATACTTTATATAGTCGGAGGTGCCTCCTTCACTGCGTTGCAAACTTCTGACTGAAATTATAATACCCTGCAAGGGTATAAAAATGGCTGTATCTAAAATTATATAAAAATCTGTTGAAAATTGGAAAAGTACGAATTTTTTTTTTACTAAAAACTTTCTGATCGTTTGTATGGCAGCTATATGATATAGTCGTCCGATCCGGCCCGTTCCGACATATATACGAGTGAGAGTATATTTAACTGCAAAGTTTCATCTAGATAGCTTCAAAACTGAGAGACTAGTTTGCGTAGAAACGGACAGGCGGACGTGGCTAGATCGACTCTGCTGTTGATGCTGATCAAGAATATGTATATATACTTTATATGGTCGGAGATAACTGACTTAAATTATAATACAAAGCAAGGGTATGAAAATACGAAACAAATAAAAAAAAGTGAATCAATTAACCTTAACCGCCCCTTTTCTTATTTATTATTATTATTAATTGAATAGATCAACTAATATTATTAATGCCAATAATCAACTGTTATTTTGGTGTTAAATAATATTTAAATACTAATACCAACTTTTTCATAATAATCTCAGAAGCTCCTTTGGTATATAACCGATATCCGCCGTTGGGTCGTGGGATAACCGTACCCATGCTTTTCCGAACCGAATTGAAAGTATAAACGCGGGTGAACTTATCCTCCGGAATTTCATCCCGAATCGATTGATACTTTACGCCCAGTGCCTGAACAAAGCCCAAGAGAGAGCATTCCGTTTTGTTGCCAACTTGAATAGGCAAGTCACCGGGATTTTTGCCAGCCTATTTTGTAATAAATAATATATGAATATATATATATATTTATGTTAGGTATTATTATATATGTAAAATGATTGAAAATAATATTTGAACACCATACCATAATATTGGAAGTGTAGGCTGAGTTCACAGATATTCCCATTGTTATCAAATTTCCCACATGCTGCGGTATATCGGTTAAAGTTGGCAATACTTTGCACAGTTTCTCACAAATGTACGATTGAACCACAGTCATTCGATTTGTGGTCAAAGTTCCAGTTTTATCCGAACATATGGCAGTGGCATTGCCCATCGTTTCACAGGCATCCAGATGACGAACCAAGTTATTATCTTTCATCATTTTCTAGTTAAATAGAAGGACAAAATAGTACCTTTTTAAAAGATTTATAAATAAATAAATGCGAGAATGGCACCTTTAACTTTAAAAGTTTCTGTTTTTAAAGTTTGTGACAATTGATATTTACGACGTATTCCGAAGGGCTTCTATGGCTAGCTAGCTATGGCCCGTTCAGACATATACGGGTGAGAGTATATACATAGAAGACCAACTGCAAAGCTTCATTCAGATAGCTTGCATAGAAACGGACAGACGGACATGGCTAGATTGACTCGGCTCTTGATCATGATCAAGAATATATTTATATATAGATAGAAATCATTCCCTATACTGCGTTGGGAGCCCGTTCAAACATATACGAGTAAGAGTATATAGAAGTTTTACAATTAAAGTTTTCCATTTTTCTTTGTATTTAACGATCGTTTGACCGTTTGATAAAGTCATCCGGTTTTCATAAAATTAAAACAAAAATTATGAAAATGAAAGGCTACAACCTTTGATCGATGTTATAATTTGTATACCCTCGCAGGGTATTATAAATTCAGACGGAAATGGATATTTATGCTGATCAAGAATATATCTTATGGAGTCGGATATGTCTTCTTCGCTTCGTTTCAAACTTCAGACTAGAATTAAAGTACTCTGCAAAGGTATAATAAAATAATATACTCACCTTGACAGAGTAAGCCAGTGAAAGCGTCACTGCCAGAGGCAACCCCTCTGGAACAGCCACAACCAAGACAGTAACACCAATTATCAAATGTTTCACCAGATTATTAGCGTACGTATTCTTCCACGGCTTTTCATCAATTACAAAGGTCTTGAAACAAAACTGAATGATCAGTATAATGACTGTAAGTACAGCAATTGTTGATCCAGCATAACCGATTTGGATGGCCAATTTTGTTAGCTTTGCTTGCAGCACCGATTTCTCCTTTTTATGCCCAGTTTCGGGAGCAGCTGCTGTGGCGGAGGATGATGATTGGGGGACATGATTACCCTCCGATTCTGATGACTTGGTTCCTTCGCTATGAACAGCTTGATGTTGAGTTTGGGGAGGAGCTTGGGTACCTTTTCCGGTCTCACCTGTGTTAGGATATATAAAGGTGTTTAAAATGGCACCGTATTAATCAATGCCACAATAATAATAACATTGATCTATTAATATAAGTATTTGCATTTTTCCTGTAATTATTTTAGGTTAATGTATGTATGTATATAAATATACCATACATAATAAATAATTTAAATTAAAAATATATATAAAGTGGAGCGAAAGATTCACCTGTCAGACTCTTTTGCTTGCTGGCCTTTTTAGCTTCTGTATATTTAATTTTGATATCATTTTTAGTTTCGTTTGGTTTAATTTCATTTTTCACGATATTTATTTGGGTTTTGATATTGTTTGGTTGGAGTTTGTGATTTTTTTATTGGTTGAGGTTGAGAGGTTGATTGGCAGGTATTTGTTTATTTCGGTTGATTGATTTGGGTAGATGATGCAAGGTAGATGATAGGTCAATCAATTCACATCATGCATGGAATATATGAAACAAAAAATAAGAAAAAGCACAATAAAAAAGCGACAATCAATAAATAAATATTCAACTTTGATCTGAAAGTTATGGGTCTTAGATTAGCCCTATAAATATGTATATATTCTAAGACATCAATTTAATTTACTGAAATAATTTGTTGTATTTTTTTGTTTAAGATTTTAATGAAACTACAAAACAAAGTATTGTTTTAAAATAAAATTTTGATTCTTAAGTAAATTGTATGTTTTTTTGTTAATCAAATATTCGGGCAATATTTTGTAAATTTGGTTATTGCTTTAAGTTGATGTATTTTGAAAAACTTTACTTTTATTAATTTCAAAATTATTTTTCTCTGGATCTCTTTTATATTTCTTTTGTTTAGAATCCTTTGTTGTAAACTTACTTGCATCTAATTGATTACTATTTATTGTATTCTCCTACCTTTCTTCATCTTTTTAATTTCCGCTTCCTGTTCATCAACTGCGGCGCCAAGAAGCGTAAATATAATTCCAGCCTGAGAGTTAACACCAACGGCTGTGACGATCATTTTGCCGCTGCCTTCCATGACATGTGTGCCCGAAAGGACCATGGGGTCAACGTCAGTTCCCTTTTTGACATGATCCGATTCGCCAGTTAGGGATGATTCGTCAACCTGCAGGAAAAAATGTTTAATAAGTTGTTCGGTAACATACATATGTATATATAAATATGTATATGCTTTTACTCTTGGTAATATATTATATTTATACAATTGAAAACCGTTTGCTAGTACACTTTGACGACAGTGGCGATTGCTTTTTTCTGCCTAAGTGCTCATTCCGTTAGATCTCGTGCCCACGGCTGCTATATATATTTTTAATAAGCATCAAAAGTCGAGTCGTTAGTTAGTCTTCTTTGTATTCTAGACGCACCATATTATCCAGAATGCTTTTCTCATCAGAGTTCGAATCTTGTTCGAAAAATGTATGCTCACAGCTGTTTCATTTGCGAAAAAATAACTTCACGTTTAAAGAATCCAGAAATTTATATGGCAATCACTCGTGTTTTTGGTTAGTTCAGCGTACAATCAGAAATGCAAAACACCTAAAGCGTGCATGACGCGAACACTCAACTAAATGATTGGCGTTCAATTGTCTATACTGATAAAATACGTTTTACTTAGATGGCCTTGATGGCTCTCAATATTATTATCATGATTTGCGTGAAGTTGATCGTCGCTATAGTCAAGAAGAGGAAATAATAATAATAATTGACATAATTAGAACATTACATCATATACGGCGATTGCTTAAAAACCTTGTTGCAGTCTGTATTTCCAAAATTAAATAATCTCTTTGGACTAATTTAATTAAAAATGTTTGGGCCTGGACAACATGGTAGAAATACGAAGGGCGAAAGCAATACGAAGATAAGGAATTACAGCTCGTAAACGTGCTTGGAGCGAGATTTCCTTGAACTACATAGATTCCTTGTATTATTTTATGAAGAACCGGATATATGAATTTATTACTTATGAAGGAGGCAGTACCTATTACTTAAATTATTATTATTATATTTTTTTCTTTTATGAACATCAAATATTGACGCAAACAAAAAATTTTATCCTTTTGAAAATGTTTGAAAAACACAATTTTGTTAAATATTCATAGTCATTTGAATACTATATTCATGGTATCATTAATAACGAATTGTGTTTGCATATCAACTTATTTTGGATAATTAGAAACAAAAAATATTAATGCAAGTAAACGTGCCTATAAATTATACCATATCATAAAGATACCATAGGAACCATAACAAAATTTTATAAAATAGATTATAACTTTTTCGGTATTCAAAATATCTTTTCATCTACTTTAAAAATGAGAATGTAAAACGTACAAATAACATGTATAGGTGAATATAAAGAAATGACTTCGTTGCAATATGCAAGGGTATACAAACTTCGGCGTGCCGAAGTTAGCATCCTTTCTTGTTTTAATAAATTTTCAACTTTTACCTTTAAGTCATTGCTTTGAATAAGGCAACCGTCGGCCGGCAATAGGTCTCCATATTTTATCTGCGCTATGTCACCAACGAGGATATCCCCGACAGAAATCTGACAGACATCGCCTCCTCTGATAACGGAGAACTTGTGCTCGCCTTCGATGCGACTTTGAAGACCACGGAATTGCCTTTCCTTTGAGTAATCGTTAAAGGCTGTTACAATCACAACGACGATAACAGAGATGAGGATGGCCAAGCCTTCAATCCAACCATGGTGCTCCTCCTCTTCTTGCAGTAAAGCTGCAATGATATTTGATAATTGTATATTGTATATTTGATATTTCTTTCTTGGACTTACGCGCATCTTCATCGGCTGGCTTATAAAATGATAAGCCAAGTGATACTAAGGCAGCAACCTCTAAAATAATAAGGGTTACATCCTGTAGGGCTTCCCAAACTAGTGTCAAAAAGGTTTTTGGTGGCTTTGGTGGTATTATATTTGAACCAAATGTCTCCCGCCTGTGCTCTTCGTCAGCCTTCGAGCCACTTAGACCTGAAAATAATATTATATCATAATAAAATAGCTGGCCCGTCGAACTTTGTCTCTTTGTGATAATTCAAATTTCTATGTAAATCTTATCTCATCAGTTGAGAGAGAAAAAACTATATTTTTTTATTTATTTCGAGAGCAAAAATAAATAAAATAATAAATTTTTGTTATCGCAAAAGCCAACCGAATTGGCAACTGAATCCGCTTAAGTTAAAATGGAAGACCCCTTTGGAATTGTTGAAATTCGTGGGATTACGACTTTTTAGTTGGTCCCTCCATCCTCGTTGGTCACGGTGTCGACTTTGAATATTGAAATTCAAACAATTGACGTTCTCTTTTTTCGCTGCTATTATTGCTCATTATCTAATCCAATTGAGATTTTAATATTTTAGGGCAATGCCCGGGAAAACTTTGTAAATGTAAATGTATTCGCAAAAATGTGACCGGACGATTTCAGCAATGAATAAACCATATCGGCAGCCGTAGATTTCGGGATGACGGGAAGTATTTGACGAAAATCTCTGGAGTGCAATATATCAAAGCCCCACCATATAATCTCGAACCACCTCTTAAATCCTTCAACCTCTGTTTTTAAGCAACAAAAACATTCGCCTGGCAATTTTAAGCAATTAAAATCGGTTCAATCGTTCTCAATTGATGTTAGAATTCGAAAAATGTACAGTTTTTATATACAGACATTTGTGTGTACATAGATATTTAAATATACAATCAAATGAAGAGAGAGGACCTACCTTCATTCGGTGATGTGTATAGCTTTTTACATAGTTCGTGAATACCACCAAATTCTGCAATCTTCGCTACACCTTCTCTTCCCCGATGCTCCATGAGCTCGCGCAATTGCTTAAGGGAAATACCATATTGCGCTGGTCTTCCATCTATGGTGGCCATTGGTTATAATTGGCTAATCTGTAAATATAAAATATTTAATAAAGTGATGCTATCATACCCTTGCAGGGTGCTATAAATTCAGTCAGAAATGTGCAACACAGTGAAGGAGTCATCTCCGACAACAGCCGTGTCCGTCTGTCCGTCTGTCCGTTTCTACGCATACTAGTATCTAAGTTTTGAAGTTATCTAAATGAAACCTTGCAGTTAGTCTTCTATATACTCTCACTCGTACATAAACACACATTTCGGAAAGGACGACTATATCACATAGCAGACATAGGTGCGATCGGAAAATCTGTACAAAAAAACTTTTATCTTTTATTTTTCAACAGATTTTCATCACATTTAAGATATAACCATTTTTATTATTCTTCCATTTTGTTTAAAATTTTATAAAAATAGGACTTCTATATCATATAGCTCCCATAGCAACGATCGAGATATTAATACATTTAAAAATTAACAAATTTTCATTAAAATTGAGACATAGTTTTGTTTAATTATTCCGTAATTTTTAATTTTTGTTTATTAAAAAAAAAAAATCGGACTACTATAGCTATTATAGCTGCCATAGGAACGATCGAGAAATTAATACATTTAAAAATAATAACGTATTCAACTGATTTTCTTCAAATTGGAGATATGGGCAATTCTCCAGAAAGGTCCACCGCGGCAAAAAAAATTAATTAAAAGTTCTTAAAACGAGTATTTTTAGATTGGTTACATAAAAAAAAAATCGATTTCAAACACGCGTAAACGCAATTTATGTTATTTTAAAAAAAATCATACAAATAGCATGTTTTGCATGTCAAGATCAGATAATTTACTGCATAATTCATTAAAATTTGTTGTATTACAATTTTTATCACGCTTCGCTGATATCAGAACTTAATCTGGTTTCTTACAAACTTCTGCTTTTGTCGCGTGCGAATGCAGTACGTTTTAGTGAATCTCTTGAAAACGAACAAGGGCCCAAAATCGATCTTAGCACTAATTATAGTGCTAACCAAGAGCTATGCGTTTCAAATGTTGCAAAATTAAAATAAAGTCTTGGCACGTGTTTTTTTTTATATTGAATGCGTACTAACATCGCATTCGACGTCAGAGAATTACCCATATAGGTTTTTTATATTATTCTAAAATTTCGATTTTATGAAAATCGGACGACTATACATAAAGGTGCAATCCAAACGATCGTTAGATATAGAGGAAAATGCAAAACCGTGAATTAAAAACTGAATATATAATATGTATTGGTGAATGAAATGAAAGCAGCAGAGTTCATTGATTTTCAACATTAATGTTCTATGTGCAAGAGTATATAATTAGCTTCCTTTCTTGTTTCTTATGAGATCTAGAGTCCAAACTTACAAAAACCTAGTATGCCATTTAAAAAAAAATTGGAATAGTAATTGTCTCAGCGCACTTTAGGTCTTAGATGTTTTTAGGCTAAGACATTTAATGTTTAAAAAAAACCTAGTATGTGCGATGCAGTGAAGTATAGTGACGCATGATGAATGCGTCAGAGATAGGGGGTAATGATGACTTCATGAACCGCCATAAATATAAAGCTCGGGGTGGACCGATTCAAGTACGCTGCGACAAAGATACCACGTTTAGTACAGAGCGTTATCAAATAAAAGATACCGTGGTCAGTAGAGAGCGTTAACAAATATTTTCAACTGATTATTTTGTCAATATGATAAAAATCTAACAATGACGTTAAAAATCAGATACCAGTACAAACCAAATAGAACCAAAACAGTGAAAACATATGGCGCGTCGCGATTGACCGACAAACGAACAGCAGAAACGAAATTTTTATCAGAATTATGAGGTATGATCGTATTCCATAAATAGATATACACATGCATCGAATTCTTTTCGATGTATTTGTGTTTTTGCTTTAACAAGGTAGATACATATAGGGGACCCCTAAGGAGTAAAATGGGTCCACGACCTTCATATAAGGCGGATAAACCACTAAGTATGCATTAAGCTTTTTATTTATGTCCCTTGAATGTCGAATAACAACACATATGTACATAATTCCAATCAAAATTATCAAATTTATATTTTTCAGTTAAATGTGTGTACATTGTGTACCACTCATAAAATCAGGAATCTTACGTCATTCGTCACAACTAACATACATTCATATGTATCTATTTGCACATTGGCAATAGAAATTAGATATATGCATAAGGGTACATATACAGGGAGAAAACCTTGAAACATAAGCACACTTATACACACTAATTATATTGATCCCGTTTTTCAAACTTCCAAACCGTAAACGTTTAAACGATTCCTTATGTACACATGTATGTTTGTAAGGGCATGATATCACTTCACTTAACTAATTTGTATTCAAATCCTTTCCACCACAAGAAAATGTCCGTTTAACTAACATACAAACATGAACATACACAATAATTAGCTATTAATTATTACACGACGACAACAAGATAAAGACGCCGCGCAAATCAAGGCGAAAACTATATTTTTAAGCTAAATTCGTGCTGTGCCAATCTCTTCGACGCCTTGTTCTTGTTTTCCATACTCGATATCTAAACATATCGATGTATCGAAACGTTAAAAGTATCGAAGTATGTTATAGAGTTTATTTTTTCAGTACGTGCACTACAAATATGCGATGCACTGGTATTTGTCTTAATTTTAAGCACGTTTAGTTCACCTTAATAAGGTAATTAACTTGCCACTGCTTGCGGAGTATAAAACAGACTGCGGGCTGTCATGCTAAGAAACAGCACTATTTGTAGAAAATGTGGTATGTTTTAAAAGGTACGTATATAGAAGTCTCGTACATCTGTTTGCCCAAGAATATTATCTTACTTATCATTTTGTTTGCCTTTATTACGCTAGCACTGCGGCTTTTCTGTACATGATAATGATAAGTAGCACAAACATTTAAACTCTTGTAGACATATATTTTTACGTACATGTATAGGTAAGAAATAGCCTAAATACAGCTTTAAAATGTTCGGCCACACTTAAATAGATTACATCTTTTTCTGTTTTTCTGTTTTCGTACTTATCGTACTTAAAATTCCCCTTAGGACGTCAAAAAACTCATTTAACTTTTAGATATATTAAAAACAATCTTTGATCATCAATACAGAACAGGTGCCATAATTATGTTTACCCTAAAGCCTTGTACTAACAAAAATAAATATTCTTTAAGCGACAAAACTCCGAATAAAGGTAGCGAAAAAAAGAACAAAAACATTCTTTGTTTTCGATCGGGCGGGTACTAAAATAAGATAAATATTACGAGTGAAAAATATAAAGCGTTGCCAGATCAAGCTAAATAGCAGCAGTAGACATACTATGTATGTACTTCGTCGGCGACCCATCGGGTAGGACACGGATAGAGGTTGCAACCGAAGTCCAATGGTATGGTTCATACATGTTCCACGACAGCGACCTGACAAGTACTTGGAAGTTGAACAAGCTGCGGCTAGTGCATCGATATCAAAGGAATTGGCGAGGCGAGCAGCGAGGCTGACCAATTTTTTTCTTTATGGCCTATGGTTTTGTTATTTATATTTCTCTTCAGGGTTCCCCCTCTTCCTTGAAAATTAATATAATTGCCAAAATCCAAAAATATTGTGTTTGCCTCTATATATTTATTTATATGAACTGTATCAGCTCTTCTAAAGTTCTTCATTTGCCTTTTCCGCATACTATTGTTACTGGCGGGATCCATAATTTGAAATATGTGAGGGAGCTGGCAGTGAGAGCGGGAGGCAAATAGATGAAAACACCATGTTTTTTATTACATTTTCTTATACTTCTTTCCACCCCGGTCTGACAATACTAAAAGTGTCGCGTCAGAAATCTCCTAACGCCATCTCCGAGCAGGCCTTTAAACCGGCGCTCACAAACTGGCGTTTTTAACTATTTGCCTCTCGCTCTCTCTCACTGCATTTTTGCAATGGTTCGTTGTGTGGTTCAGCAAGTGGTTCTCAGTAGGTTCACATTTGGTTCCCTTTTTATAGCCCACATAAACCACCCAGTGTTGTGCGTCTTAATTAGACAAACTGACGGTTAGAAACATTACATTTTCAACAAATAAATATGAATCTACCGTAGTAAACTGTACACCGTGCATATTGGGACATGTTCTGAAACTGGAATTATACAACTTTCCAATTTTTCTCTTCTATTTTGTATGGTGCAGACCCCGAAGTTCACTGTTTTGATTTTGCAGAAAATTAAAATTTGTAGAGGCAAAAACGGTAGTGCGCCTTTGGGACATTTTTTTTTTGCTCGCTTGATATTTGACTTTTCCGTTGCGAGAGGATCGTGCCGCGTGGCTCCGGGGTTAGAACATCTAGCCATGTCCGTCTCTCCGTTTCTACGCAAACTAGTCTCTCAGTTTTGAAGGTATTTTAATGAAACTTTGTTAGTCTTCTATATACTCTCACTCGTATATATTTCGGTACGGGCCGGATCAGGCTATATCATATAGCAGCCATAGGAATGATTGGAACATTTTTCAAAAAAAAAATTATAACATAATCAGTTTTCAACAGAATTTGATCAAATTTGAGATATAGCATTTTATATATTCTACATACATGAAAATCGGTCTACTATTTTCTATAGCTCTCATAGGAACGATCGATAAATTTATACAATTAAAAATTATAAATCTTTCAGTTTTCAACCGTTTTTTATCAAATTTAAATTTCTGCACCGACTAATGTGATATAAATATAGATCATTTGTTAAATATCGAAAAAAAACATAGATTCACGTACTTAAATAAGTGTAGAATAAATATAAAATAAAGATTAAATATATAATAAGAAATAAATATGGAATAAATAGGTAATAAATAAATAATAAAACCAACAAAACTTGTAACAATTACATATAGACTTTAAATAAATCGTTAAAAAGGCAATTTAAAATTTAACCAAAAACTACAAAAAAAATGGCTTAAGCTACCAAGCTCCCGGTTCTATTTAATTGGTAATTTGATGTATAGAATGCAGGTTCCGGAGCATACATATGTATGTACATATATACATGCAGTTACCGGTCGCCGAGACACAGGGTTATGCTCGAGTTCTTTGGGGTCTCAAATAAAATGCCGCCAAACAGAACAAACAAAATTGAACCGCTCTATTCCTCCACTTCCTGGTTCTTTTCCTTTCTCCTCCTCTTTTTTCTGGTTGGAACCCTGTTGTTTCAGGTTCAAACCATTCCAGGTCAAGAACCTATTCCTCCAGAAGGTGGTGCATGCTATCGATCTCTTTTTTGGGGCAGGGTGGCATCCCTAAGCTGAACATCTAATCTATCGATGGAACTCAATCGATATTAACTTGGTTTGACAACAGCTGGACCTAAAGACCTAAACATGATCATATTTTTTAAATTTACTACGTGGGGAAAAATGTTGCTGTACCAACTTAGTAAAAACATAGAACACTAATATCGATATGAACTATTGTATAGCATTAAGAGTTATCGATATATGAAATGTACAATAAGTAGGGATACAGAAACATCGATGTGTGCGTCAATCGATGTTTTCAATGTTAAAAAAAAAACATCGAGTGAAACATCGATGTTTCTAAAAAAAATGGAATTTAACAATATGACTAGATTTATTCGAGATCTGTGATATCAGGACTATCAATAGTATTATTGAAATGTGAATTCTTATTGTTAAATAAAAGCTTGTTCACAGAGCCTTGTCCTGCGGTCACTAATGGTTTGTCCAGCTTTGCTGAACACTCTTTCCGCTTCGCCTGACTTGTTTAGACAAGTATTTGGGTGCTACCAATTTTAAAGAGCAGTAATCAGTACACATCTATAAAAAATAAATGGTTACTTAGCATTTTCCGCATAACAATTTTAAAGTCTTTAATTACAATATTTTAAAGGGTCTTCATTTTCTCCAAGGTTTTCTTTTTCGGAGTTGTGTGAAAAAACATCGATGGTGGTGACCCAGCCATCGATGGTTCCGATGATTTGCAAACATCGATAACATCGATGTTTCACTCGATGTTTCTGCACCTCTAACAATAAGATGGAATAAGAAGAAGGGACAGGGAGATCGTGAATAAAAAATATTAAATATTGTTACAATATTATTTTTTATTAAATTTTGTATACTTTCTTGCAACTCGGTCTGGAAATACTAAAAGTGTCCAGTCAGAAATCTCTTAACGCCATCCAACTTTCTAGTGTTTTTGATTTTGTGTCTCTGTGCAGACCTGACGGCGCTGACGAACAGCCGTTATCAACTATTTGCCTCTGGCTCTCTCACACTGCTTGATATGGGTGTTTTACCCACCATACTGTGCCATACCGTGTTTTCATGCCAAATATCATTCGATATTTTTTGTTGCGCATATCGATATTAAAAAAAGAAAATATCAAATCGTATTTGGTATTGAGTATTGTAAATACCACAATTAAAATGTTCTTCCTAAATATGCTTCAAAATTAAAATAACACTGAAAATTTTGTAGTTAATTATGCAATCAATTATCTAAATAATATATATTGTTTAATTTTAAAATATTAAGTAATTTTTTAAATTCAATTTTAGTACCGGTCGCATGTGACATTTTAGAAAGCGATACATAATTCAAATGAAAACTGTACGAATATTGGTAATCGCAAGCAAATGCCTTTGTTTAAAAGATTGGCATCAAAACAAAACATGCCGTTTTTTATGTCATTTTTGTTAATAAAAATTGCGTTTACGAGTGTTTGACTTAAATTATTTCGAAATTTATTTTAGAAAATGAAAAATTCTCTTAGTCTTGATTAACCTGACCAATTTTCAATGTATTCATGTTAAAAATACTCGTTTTTAAAGCAATTTTAATTTTTGGGCCGCGATGGACCTTTCTGGAGAATTGCCCATATTTATTTATATGTGCGAAATATTTTGAATAAACATCGATATACCAATTGATTTTCGTGTAAAAGGCGATGGGCCATCTCTAGGACGTGCGTGCATCGTTTTGTGATTGTTCGGCTTTTTGGTGTACTTTCTGGGCCTCATAAAGTGTTTATATATAAATTCCGTAATATATATACATTTTTATTAAACATATTAAGCATAATTGAATTTGGATAGCGTTGTAAGTGATTTCAATCTATGAAAAAGCAGTGGAAATATGTGAAATTTGTATATTGGGTGATCCAAATACACTAAATGGTTCAGCGTCTGTACCTCAGCATTGCCAGCTAATAAAAAATTGTTAAGTTCACTGAGAGTGAGTTTCTCACTTTGGTATTTTGTATGCATATAACATACATATATTTATAGTATTTTTTGGTTGTTTCCGGTAAATATGTATGTATATTTGTACGAATTTATCGGATGCGTTTAAGAATATTGTAAATAACAAAGAAATTAATGTTAAATATACACCAGAACTAAATTAATCTTTTATTATGTAAATTATAATTGTTATTTCAAAATGAAGGTATTAAAATTTAAATGAAGCCAAAACTGGTATTAAGCTTTAAAGGCGCTTTATTATACCAAGACCTACACTAAATATTAAATTGTTTATTTGTTTTATTTATTTTTTTCAGGTAATACCAGTTAAAATCGGCAATAATGCATTCTTAAATGCTGTTTCCTTTTTTACAAACTCACTCAATTGATAAATACGCATTTCTCTTTCAAAACTGGTGTTGAATAAACTTTAAATTATGGAATGTTCGGACATCATTGCTGAAAAATCAGCGTTAGAAACTGTTTTGAATACAGAGTTTATGCTCCAAACGGAAGATAATAGTCGCATAGATAATGTGGATAATGATGAAAACTTTCATAATCGGCAAGCTGCCGTCTCGACAGCCGGCAGCACATCACCTATGTGCGGATTTCGATGGAAACGAGTTCTTAATCCTACGGGACCACAACCGCGTCCACGCCATGGACACCGCGCCATCAACATTAAAGAGCTAATGGTGGTTTTTGGTGGCGGCAATGAAGGAATTGTTGATGAATTGCATGTTTACAACACGGGTAAGTGTGTTATTCTTATCTTTGTATATAATAATTAAAAATCATAATCTCTTACTTTTTTATAAATATAGTTACCAATCAGTGGTACGTGCCAGTGCTTAAGGGAGATGTACCCAATGGATGCGCAGCCTATGGCTTCGTTGTGGAAGGAACTCGAATGTTTGTCTTTGGCGGAATGATTGAATATGGAAAATATTCAAACGATTTGTACGAGCTGCAGGCCACAAAGTGGGAATGGCGGAAAATGTATGCCGAGTCACCCGATGGTGATGGCATGTCGCCATGTCCACGTTTGGGTCACAGTTTTACCATGGTTGGCGATAAGATCTTTTTATTTGGCGGTTTGGCAAATGAATCGGATGATCCAAAGAATAATATACCCAAGTTAGTAAAAAAAAGAAAGGACTAACTTCGGCACGCCGAAGTTTATATACCCTTGCAGATAGAACCTCGATGACTAGGAATTAATACAATATACATTTTATATATTTATGTTAAAAAACAATGAAGTAATGCCTGCTTTCATTTCATTCACCTATACATATTATATTTGCAGTTTTACATTCACAATTTTGCATTTTTCTCTATATCCAACGATCGCTTGTATGGCAGCTTTACGATGTAGTCGTCCAATTTTCATAAAATTAAAATCGAAACTCTAAAATATTCTAGAAAATCTACTGAAAACTGAAAAAGTTGTAATTTTTAATTGTATTTATGTCCGATTTTTATGAAATTTTACACAAAATTGTAAAATAATATAAAATCTCAATACCTTGAATTTGATGAAAATGTGTTAAAAATTTAAAAACTTGTATTTTTTTTCTAAACATTTTCCGATTGTTCCTATGGCAGCTGTATGATATATTCGTCCGATCCCGTTCCGACATATATACGAGCGAGAGTATATAGAATACTACCTGCAAAGTTTCGTTCAGATGGCTTCAAATCTAAGAGATTAGTTTGCATAGAAACGGACAGACGGACAGACGGACATGGCTTGATCGACTTGACTGTCGATGCTGATCAAGAATATACTTTATATGGTCGGAGGTGACTCCTTCAATGCATTGCAAACTTCTGACTAAAATTATAATATCCTGCAAAGGTATAAAAATTGGGAAATTTACAAGTAAATTTTAACATATGTATGTATATACCTATATATAGATTTATATATATATTATTATTTTATTTTTATTTTTCTTTATTAAATAGATACCTGAACGATCTGTATATACTAGACACCCGCGGCGTTCACAGTCACAATGGCAAGTGGATAGTTCCAAAAACCTTTGGGGATAGTCCGCCACCCAGAGAGTCGCACACTGGTATAGCATTTACCAGCAAAGCAAACGGAAACTTGAATTTATTGATTTATGGCGGTATGAGCGGTTGCCGTTTGGGCGATTTGTGGTTACTTGACACAGGTTAGTCTTTTCACAACATAAAAGCATGTTCTCAAAGTCGCATTACATATTTTTTAGAATCCATGACTTGGGCAAAGCCGCGAACTCTGGGGCAAGCACCATTACCACGCTCTCTGCACAGTTCCACAATGATTGCAAACAAAATGTATGTTTTTGGAGGCTGGGTACCATTGGTGATGAATGAATCCAAGTCAACGACAGAGCGAGAATGGAAGTGCACAAACACATTGGCTGTTCTTGATTTGGGTAAGTAATGGTGTTCATTTTATTAATTTATCCTTACAGGGTATTATAATTTTAATTAGAATTTTGCAACACCATGAGGGAGTTATTTTCGAGTCTATAATGCATATTTATTCTTGATCAACATCAACAGCCGAGTCGATCTAGCTATGTCCGTAGGTTATATTTCTGAAAAGTTACTAGTATTTGTTTTCTTAATACTCTTCAAACCACCTCTTTTCGTAGATGTATTGGGGTACAGCTCCTAATTTAAACTTAGCTCTCTGAATACTCTAATTAATGCAGCAGTGACAATAGTATTCTTAATTTTTAAGATTAGATACGGATGGACAATTTCTCTCAATTGATGCGGTTGTTGAAGATTATGTTACTGTCATTTGTATTGTTGATTATTCTAATAATAATAAATTTCACTTTTAAGAACTTATCGTCTATGTCCGTGTAACTTCACATCAAGAGAACGTTTTACCAAAACTGTGATAGTATGTGACTACGAATTTGCACTGCAGGCTTTACAGTCCACTTTTTACTTTCTTTCGAATCGGCTAGTATAAGTTTATTAATTGAAATAAATATAAAATAAGAACATTTAAACAGTTTTTTTAGCTTACACATAAGAAAAAATAATAATATACATTAAGTTAATTACATTTCTCTTCCAAACCATTATAAATGAATGATTTCGATATAATTTCAGATACTATGTCTTGGGATAACGTTACCTTGGATACCGTCGAAGAGAATGTGCCGCGTGCTCGTGCTGGCCACTGTGCTGTGGGCATACAGAGCCGTCTGTATGTGTGGTCTGGTCGGGACGGTTATCGAAAAGCATGGAATAACCAGGTTAGGGTGAGATATATATTCTACTTAAATGGTATTTCCATCTACCAAAAGGCGAGCTGAACCGCTTTCATCACTTCATTAGTTTTGATTGTAAAAGGGTGATGAAAAATGAACGCAAACCAAAGGATAGAAGGAAGATCGGTGCTCGTCTTAAATCAACAGCCACAGATTTACATAACTGTTCCCTTACAGGTTTGCTGCAAAGACCTTTGGTATTTGGAGGTGACAAAGCCCCTTTACGCTGTTAAAGTGGCGCTAGTGCGCGCCTCCACGCATGCCTTGGAGCTCTCCTGGACAGCGACAACATTTGCGGCTGCTTACGTTTTACAAATACAAAAAATAGATCAACCATCTGTAAATCCAGGCACGAAACAGCCGCAGAACCTGGTTAATCAGGTAATAACAGCTGCGGCAAAGACAGCCAATGAGCCAACAGCAACGACTGTACCAGAAAATAGCCCCGAGAGTACATTGTTGTTGGCAGGAAATGAAGCCAATTCAAGCACAGATGGTAAGAACACTATAAAAGCCGAAATAAATGTTCAAGCACGAGAGGGAATGGGTTCACGGTCGCCACCCACGTCCCCACAGTTAAAAAAGAAATCGGGGAATGCGGCCACCATCACATCTGTTGTTCAGCCTCAAATATCGGTTATTAGCAGTACTGCTGCTTCCGCTCCTGTTACAACTAGCGGAAATACTTCTGTCGGTAATATATTGCAAAAGTTCCGACCAATTGCAACGACAACAGCGAGAACAGATCCGGTGGCATTGCGTACTTCTAACGCGAATGTTGTCCTTAGTTCAGTAACAGGAGCAACCACAGCCGCTGCTTCTGGCAATGCCTTGCGTATTGTGTCTAGTGCGGCGGCCACATCATCATCACAAGCATTGCGCAACAGCTCGGCCACAATTAATATATTAAAAACATCCGCGCCAAGTGCTGGATCACCGACTACGACCACCACAACATCCATTGGTGGCAAACAATATTTTATCCAAAAGCCTCTCACATTGGCACCCAATGTTCAACTGCAGTTTGTCAAGACGAGCAGCGGTGGCATGACGGTGCAGACATTGCCCAAGGTTAACTTTAACGTGACTAAAGGTGGAGGCAATCCATCACAGAGTCTTTCAATTGGGAATACACAAACCCCAATACAAGTGAGTATTATTAATATTTCTAAATTTTGTACAAGAAAAATCAGACAGGGTATATATAAATGCATATCAGAGCTAGAGATAATTGTTGTTGCCTCTACCAAAGAAACATTGAAGCGACTCGGCTGTTGATTCTGAACACATTTACTTTTTTCGTCGCATCAGTCTCCTTAATTTTTACTCCTGGTCGCACGCGACTATTTTGAAACCCATAATTACCATTAAAACTACGAATATTGGTAATCGCATATGCACATTTGCATTTTATATTTGAGGATTGCCCATATAGCCATTATATATTATTCTACAACTTGGTGTACAATTTTATGAAAATCGGACTACTATATAGCCGTAGGAACGATCGAGAAATTAATACAATTAAAAATGATAACTTTTTGAGTTGACAACAGATATCAAATTTGAGATATATGCTTTTATTACTCTAGAATTTGACTTTTATTTTATGAAAATCGGACGACTATATCAAATAGCTGCCATACAAACGATTTTATATAGGTGAATGAAATGAAAGTGGGCATGACTTCATTGATTTTTATACCCTTGCAGGGTATTATAATTTCAGTCAGAAGTTTGCCATGCAGTGAAGGAGGCACCTCCGACCATATAAAGTATATATATTCTTGATCAGGATCAACAGCCGAGTCGATCTAGCCATGTCCGTCTGTCCGTCTGTCCGTTTCTACGCAAACTAGTCTCTCAGTTTTGAAGCTATCTGAATGAAACTTTGTAGTTAGCCTTCTATATGCTCTCACTCGTATATATGTCGGAACGGGCCAGATCGGACGACTGTATCATATATCTGCCATAGAAATGATCGAGAAATTAATACAATTAAATTTATAACCTTTTTCAGTTTTCAACTGATTTTCATCAAATTAGAGGTATAGACATTTTATATTAGTCTTAAACTTTGGGTCAAATTTCATGAAAATCAGACTACTCTATCATATAGGTGCCATACAAACGATCGTTTGATGTTGAGGAAAAATGCAAATCTGGGAATGTAAAACTGCAAATATAATATGTATAGGTGAATGAAATGAAAGCAGGTATTACTTCATTGTTTTTATCGAAGTTCTATCTGCAAAGGTTTATATACTTCGGCGTTCCGAAGTTAGCTTCATTTCTTGTTATTAATTTATTTGTAAATATTTATTTAATTTCTCAGGGCTCCGCTTTACCGGTAAACCAACAGCCAAAGTCCTCCATTGTCTCCGGAAATGTCTTAAAACTCGTCTCACCACACACCATGACAAGTGGAGGTAAACTTATAATGAAGAACTCAAACATCCTGCAGATGGGCAAGGTAACGCCCAATGTAATGGGCGGAAAGCCCGCTTTTGTCATAACAAACAAGCAGGGAGCGCAGTTGGGCAATCAACAGATAATAATTGTGACAACGGGCGGTGGGAGCATGCGAACTGTGCCAGCTGGAGCGGTAATGAGTACGGCTGGCTCGGGCACGGGCACGGGCACGTCGACAACTGGCACAAGTATTGTCAGTATAGTTAGTCCGACGGCAACCACATCTAGTCCCCTACAGGTTAGCTCTGTTGGTGGTCATCGAACTGTTATATCAACCAATCCGAGTGGAGTTAAAATGCTGCGAAGCATCTCATCCGTTCAAGCCCCTGGGGGACAGAAGGTGGTAAGTGGCGGAACACCTATCCATCAAAAGGCAGCCCTATATATAGGGGGTAAAGCTGTTACGGTTATGAGTAGCACAAATCCAAACCTAACCGCAGGCAATGCCATATCTAACTCGAAATTGATGGTTGTGCCGGGAGGAAGTACAAATGTTTCTGCTACTTCCAATTCTACGACTCTAAGCGGTAGAAAAAGTTTTGTTTTTAACTCTGGGAGTAGTCCACGTGCAGTTACTTTGACCACTAAAGGAATTCATGCTAGAATCCTGCCATCCACATCGGCGACTCTGTCCAAGGAAAGCTTGAAGGAAATATCAGATAAGAAAGACAACATCGACCCAACGGATGATATCATAGAGCAGTTGGATGGTGCCGTTGATCAATTGAACCCACAAGAAAATGAAGCTAAAGAAGAAGATAATAATGACGACAATGACAATGCCACATCCACGTCAGCAGCTACTAGTGCTGATATAATGGCGCCTATACCGATGGCTATTAATGAGGATGTGTCCGCTGTAAGCAGTACAACGGATGCTAGGGAAACAGCGGCGGAAAGCCTAGAAGAAGCGCCCAAATATACAGAGAAAGAACAAGTTAATAGGGAATCAACGGTAAGTACAACTGATTTATATTGTTTTTTTTTGCTATAATAATATAATTTTATATATAGATAAAGTCCACACTATTGCCCAATGATCATCAAAATAATCGTCCAACAACATCGGAAACTGAAGCCGCCACTATTCTAACCAACATCAAGTCAGCTGAAGTCTCAGGCACCAACAAAAACGCCAGTAGTTCAGCTTCAATTATAGGAGACGATAATAGAGCAACAGATGTGTCAGATACCAAGTTTAACCAGATACCACATAAATTTCCGAATGGTTTGTATCCCTTTTGAAACTATATCTATACTGAAAAACAAGAAAGGACGCTAACTTCGGCACGCCGAAGTTTATATACCCTTGCAGATAGAACTTCGACCACTAGGAATTAATACAATATAAATTGTGTGTTTATATTTAAAAACAAAGAAGAAATGCTTTCATTTCATTCACCCATGCATATTATATATATAGTTTTACATTCACAGTTTGCCATTTTCCTCTATTGTTTGTATGGCAGCTATATGATATAGTCGTCCGATTTTCATTGAACTAACTGCAAAGTTTCATTCAGATATCTTTGAAACTGAGGAACTATTTGATAAAGACTTTATATGATCGGAGATGCGTCCTTCAGTGCGTTGCAATCTTCTCAGTAAATGTATAATACCCTGCAAGGGTCAGAAATGTGCCAATTATTATTTGCGCAACGCACGAACAAAATTACATGCTGCTTTTATACGCCGTACCCATTGTTTACAACAGTCAAAATTTACATCTGCTTTAAATTGGACAATTGCGCACGTAAAGTTTCCTTTAATATTTACCCACAATATTTTGGTTACTCAAAGTCTGTCACACTTGACTTGTGTTTTTTATTTACAGTTGATGGCTCACACTTGGATGCACTCGCTTCTGCTGCCGTAATGCAGGCGGCAACAGCTGATGCGTCAGCTCTGAATTTAAATAGTGGAGAAACAGTGAAGAGTTTGGTGGAAGCAAGTCCCAGAAAGAGCGGTGGTGATAATTCAAAAAACCAGGTAAATTTAAAAGCTGTGGTTTTTATACCTTTGTATGGCATTATCATTTAAGTCAGAAGTTTGCAATGCAGTGATGAAGATAAATATAATATGTCCTATACATGAATGTAGGCATGACTCCGTTGTTTTTAACACAATTTATATTGTATTAATAACTAGTGATCGAATTTCATTCTTCAAGGATATACAAACTTTGGCGTACCGAACTTAGCTTTCGTTCTTGTTCCATTTTATATTTATAATTATCCAAATGCAATCTGCAATGGTATACAAACATCTCAATTCATCATCTATTCTGCTTCTTAAGTGCCGTAAATTTTTAAATTAAATTTTGTGCAACCGAAAAAACCTTTTAATTTTATGAAACTCGGACGACTATATCATACAGCTACCATATAAAAGATCGTTAGTTAATGTAAAACTGTAAATATAATATATATATATATATAGGTGAATGAAATGAAATGAAATGTTTTAAACATAAATATATATATTTTATATTGTGTTAATTCCTAGTGATCGAAGCTTTACGTACAAAAACTTCGGCTGGCTGAGGTTAGCTTCCTTTCTTGTTATATCATCATTTTGGCTGCTAGTATTAATATCAATAGCTATTTATTTAATGTTCCTTTGTTTTCTTAAAAGTCAACGTTTACATTTTCTTCCAATTTTGATGTCATAATTTTTTGAAGTGGCTACTTTTTATACCCCTTCAGGGTATTGTAGTTTTTGCCTTGAGGGGGAATATACTTGTATAAGGTCAAAATGCTGTAAGTTATTTAAATGCCGTATTGTAAATGACAAAATAATTTATATAACTAAAGTTTAACCTAATGCCGGGCTTATTGAGTATATACCGCAGCGCCTCGATCTTTAAGTTTCAAGGCTATGGAGACGGTTGGGCTCGAAATTCGTGTCGGGAATCCAAAAAACAATAATAATTTGCATTCATTATACGTTTATCTTTCAGTTGACCTAAAAAAACCAAATCAAATGATAGCAAACAAATCGATTTACTCCGCTAAGTCGCATAGTTATTTGTGAATTGTGTCCTTAACATAAAAGGAGTGGAGAAAAAGCAGTTTTAAGTTGAATAATAATGATTTCACAGTATATTTTACTAACTCCAACCTCACCACAAAATCTAGCCTTTAAGTCCTATGTATAATATTAAAATCTGTATATATTTAATCGAGCGGTAGGCCACAGCAGCCAATGCTCATTATCCTAACTTAGCCCTTAGTTTACAACCAGCCGCTAGCTTTATATAAATAAATAAATAAATATTTTACTTACAATCATTATATTCACAAGTTATATTATTTATTATTTGTGTGTTTAAATCTTCTAATCTTCTAACCCCCAGCTCGACGCGCAAAAATGGCACACTGTTGGCATATTCAAGGATCTCTCTCACACCGTTACCAGTTACCTTGACTCCAATTCTTTCGATGATTCCCTACTGGATGACGTTTTTGATGTTGATAACCTGGCTGATCTTAGTAAATATCCTCGCATTAACTTGGATCCTGGAACAGCGTATCGGTTTCGACTGGCGGCCATCAATTCTTGCGGTCGTGGCGAGTGGGGAGAGGTTTGTTCAATTATTTAGAAGATATTTTATTTATAGTTATTTGATCATCTCCACTTTGTTAAAAATTCTCTCATGCTGATTTTATACCTGATTAGACTATATATCCGATATCAGAAGGAATCCGACCGCATGAATTAGCGTTATCAGAATCATTAGCCGAGGCATTAGGCTATGTCTGTGTGAAACAACTAATTTTAAAGATTAAGAGCCAGAGCTCCCAAATTTGATGACAAAAGTTACATTTGTGCGACACGCACAACAAGATTGTTTTAAAATTTTACCGCGTCCAAGACCATCGTATTATTCTCCCTTAATTTATAAGGAATCCTAACAAAGAAATGGGGTTTCGATTGGTAAATTGATGTAAAATAATGACTCCTGAGCAAAAATTGAGCTAAACTTTAATTTTTTGCTTTAATTTGTCATTTTCCTTTGCGGTCTCCCAATACATTCTATTTCTATTTATTTTTTATCTACAATACAACATTTTGTTTTATTCCATATATCGCTTAATAAGATAAGTTATTATATTATTATTACTATATATGGTTAAAAGGATTTTTGCTCTATTCGATGTTCTTAAGAAGTCGCAGTGCTGAAAAGTAGGACGCCTCAAGGCATTTTCCTATTTTCAAGAACACTGCTATTAGATTCAAACACATTTTTCTCGAAACCAAGTTTTTCCAACTTGTCCATAAGATTTCTTGAAAACTACTTGACAGATTTAGTTGAAACTTATAGAATATGTTCAGCATACATTCGGACATTGCAGGAACTAGGATATTTTGGATCGGTAAAAAAGCTTTTTTTATGATTATTATTCAAAATTATTCCAAAAATCGAATTCGAATTTCTAAATATAGTTTCTGCGATGTACGCATTCATCCCGGTTGTAATGGCATTCACATTTTTAAAACCGACCCACGCAAGTATAGTACTTCAATAACCCGTGTTTCGCAAATTATACAATATTTAAACTTAAAAAAATTTCATAATTTTCTTAATATATGGTAAAAAATTCACATTGGTAAGTCTTAGGCGCTTTTTAGAAGAATTTATCAAAAAACGGCCGTCACATGGGTCAACCCCCTTAAACTAAACTATACCCTATTTTATCTAGCTTCGTTAAACGTTTAATATTTTATCAAATTTACCCAGATATCCAGCTTTAAGACCTGCTTGCCTGGCTTTCCCGGCGCTCCCTCGGCCATCAAGATTTCCAAGGACGTCAAGGAGGGTGCCCACCTGACATGGGAACCACCGCCGGCACAAAAGACCAAGGAGATTGTTGAATATTCAGTATATCTTGCTGTAAAACCCACGACCAAGGATAACAAGACATTGGCCGCCACACCGCAATTGGCATTTGTTCGGGTTTATGTGGGCGCTGCTAATCAGTGTACCGTTCCCAATGCCTCCCTCTCCAACGCCCATGTAGATTGCTCTAATAAGCCAGCAATTATCTTTAGGATTGCAGCCCGCAATCAGAAGGGCTATGGGCCAGCGACACAAGTTAGATGGCTGCAGGGTGAGTCTTCATTCTCTAATATACATATATAATATTCCGTTCTAATGTAAGTTGCCAAAAGTATAAATCCTTTTCTAATAACAGCGACACAAAATGTTTGGTTAAAGAAACCTAGTTGTTATATTTTGTAAAGTGTTGCAAAATCAGGGAAGAAAGGGTTGTCGATGCATCACTCCTACAGTTTGCAGATTCATTTTGTGACCATAGATAACCTATATTAATTTGCCTGCTACAAAATATTTATATGTTGAAAAACAGAGAAGTATTTATTTGTTACAATTAGCTATACATTTTCGTATTTAAAATTTTCTGAGCTAAAATGAGATTTAAGATATTGTCGTCTGATCTTGATAGAATTCAAAACTTAACATCTCAGATTATACGCAAATATGTTGAAAAGAAATTAAGTTATTCACTTGTCATAATGCAGCTATACAATTTCCATAGAATTAATACTGATCTTCTAAAATCATTTAAAATGGAAACTTTTTAAGTAATATGAAAATACGTTGAGCAAGAAAGAGAGCCAACTTCGTCGTGGCGTAGTTTGCAATCCCTTGCCGATTTCTCCTTGCGGAGGAATAGCGATTCTCGTAAGTCCGTTTTTTTTTATCAAGTAAAGTTCTGTCTATTTCGAGGTAGCGTTTCTATAAAGTGAACATGTGTCTTAATGCATTTTATTCGGTACGTTCATTTTGTGTTCGATTATTACGATTATCCATTTGCCGATGTACAGCACGTGTACGCCGTCCAATGCTTGATAACCAAATAGCAGGCATTATTCAAAAATACAACTCTTACAATACTCACTTTCGTAATTTTTCGCTAATGTTAATGAAAGTAAGAAATTATGTAAACACAAGTAATGCCTACTTTCATTACATTTACCTATATATATTACCAATATATTTTCTCTGCATTTAATAATCGTTTATAAGTATTGCATCTATACGATATAATTTTGCGATTTTAATAAAATTTGAACCGAAATTCTACGGCAGCTACTTGCTATAGTCGTCCGGCTCGGCCCGTTCCGACTTTTATACTAGTGAGAGTATATAGAAGACTAAATGCAGAGTTTTATTCAGATAGCTTAAACCCTAAGAGATTAGTTCGCGTAACAACTGGCTGACTGGCAGACTGGCATAGCTAGATCGTGTCGGCTGTTCATGCTGATCAAGAATATATGTACATATGTTTGCGTTGCAAACTTCTGACTTAAATTATATTACACTGCACTGGCCAAGAACACAACGGAAATTGACAGATACACGCGGAGCACTTCAAATCGGCCCTATACACTCATCTCCAGGATAGGCTTCTATGGAAAGCGCAATATTCGAGCACTGGGGATCGCTTAGCGCAAGGTGAAGGACAACCAAATGTATCTTTAGACTCCCTCGCAATACTTCTAGCTACGCAATCAATTGTCTGCAAAATCACTTTAAATATGTAGACAAGGTGCGTTGCATGCCAGACAACAGACTACCAATGATCGTTTTAACAAAAATGTTGACCAATCAAATGCAAACATTCAGCCAATGAAAGGTGAAAGGTTGTCTTTCACCATTTAAATGACATTGAGATTGACCTGGATCTACCGCAATCCTGGGAAGATTCCTAGCGTAGGCTCGTAGACTGCATCCTAAGAAAAGAACACAAAGACTACCTATTCCGAGCCACCGTAAGCGGAACCAGACACCCCTAGGGATATAGCTTGTGTCGGTGCTCGTACTTGTTTTGTTGATCGCGTCGACACACACTCTATTTCTCTGATCAGTCTAGCTCATTGTGAAATGCTGCCGCCAAACTACAGGCCTCACTGAAATACAACTAACGCGGCATGCTCCGTGTGCAACCTTCTTGCGAAGGCTGAAGACGTGGCTCGTTTCGTTAGAGCGTGTCTAATTAGAAATTAGAACTGCTTGCACCGCGCTTCCTATCTGCACCAGGCTTTGACTTAATGTCAGAGTTTCATAAATGAATTGAAATATCACATCAATAACCTGTCACAACTTTTGTACTTGTGAATTTTGTCTCTTTACTATTTTGTATGAAAAACCTTTTGTTTAGATGTTGTGTAAAGCGCATATAAGAAATCTGCGAACCCCTCTAATATCACGGCTGACGGTTCTAAACCACGCCTTGTTTAAAATAAATAAATATATACTAGTACTTTTACCACATCTACTAATAATACTTTTACTAATCCGTAGACTACTAGGAAAAATTAATAAAAACTATTGTTTGAAATTTGTTTCAAGAATATAACGTGACCCTAATGAATACCAAATGTAATAATTCCTTTCAGATCCCACTACCACAAAACTGCCGACGTCTACCGGCCCACAAAGCCTAAAACGGGCACAGGATAAGTCTAATAGCTCAGCTGGTAGCACATTCTGTTCGCCGAACAAGCGTGGACGGAGCGGCGTAAATGATTGATTTACTGTTGCAGAAAATGGGATTTAAGAGAGGGAGAGAGATAGAGAGGTCACAATAAATAAACGTGTATGTATTCTCCATGAATATCTCTTCAATTTGAAAACTTTTTAAAAATTGACTGGGAGTTTGGAAAGATTTTGGCGGGATTTTGATTCTTGAATTGAATGTAGCAATGTAAGTACTTGCCCTTAAATACTAAGTACTTCAAGCAAAAGAGATACAATTAATAATTTAAAAGCGAGATTAGGAATTTGGAATGCAAATGTTAAATATTTTAAATTTCAGAGTAGAGATTATTTCTTTGTCATACATTTTTTAAATTTTTTATTCTATTAGAATTACAATCCAAGATATAAATCGTATGTATCAATTAACCTAATTAAAAGTGTATGAAATCAAATTCACATAGTTAATAATAAAGTAAATACAGAAAACAAAGTAAGTTTAATTTAGACTTGAAAACATGTCGTACATTTTCTGGGTGACTTCGGTTTTTAAATAGGTTTTTGGGTTTTCTGTTTTTATGTTTTGTATTGGTTTTATTATTAAAATATTTATTTTTTGTTTCTTTTCAGAAGTAAGTAAACTGAAGGTTCAAGTGGCTTTGTTTGTTTTTATTTTAACATCCTTTTCCCATCATTCAATAAATTTTTAAATGACTGCTCAAAATTATTTTCAAAATAAATTATTTTACCGTTCCAAATTTGTACTTTTAATTCGACAGCTGCATCGTTTTCTAATTCCAATAACCGTTTCGTTTTCGTTTTAAAGTCTTTCTCGTCTTCCTTTTTTTATACCCTTGCAGTTAGTATGTATATATTATTGATCAGCATCAACAGCCGAGTCGATCTAGCCATGTCCGTCTGTCTATCAGTCCGATTCTACTATCTATCTATCTGAATGAAACTTTGCAGTTAGTCTTTTTTATACTCCAAATTGTATATATGTCGAAATGGGCCGGATCGGACAACGATGTCATATTTAGGAAAAAAATTTTTAGTTTTCAACAGTTTTTTTTTATAAAATTTGAGATATAGCCATTTTTATATTATCTACAATTTTTTGTAAAATCTGACAAATTTATAGCTGCCATACAAAAGAGCCTTAGATATAAAGGAACATGCAAAACTGTGAATTGTAAATATAGGTTAAAGGAATGAAAGCTGGCATTAATTCAAAGTTTTTCAACATGTATATAAAATGTATATTGTATTAATTCCTAGTCATCGAGGTTCTATATGCAAGGGTATATAAACTTCGGCGTGCCAAAGTTAGCCTCCTTTCCTGTTTTGTTTTTTTGTTTAAAACCCCCAAAGAAAAATGCTTTCTTAATTGATTTTGTTGCGCATTTTTTACTCTTATAATAAACGTAAACATAACACGAAGTTTTTACATAGAATTTTTGTTGCGTTTTTAATGTATTGCACAATTATTTTTTGTAGCCACTTCCATTCGAGTTTGGGCTTATCTGTCCTATCCATTCTATAATATATATAATATATATATATGTATAATATATATAATATATTATAAATATAATATGTTATACATTATATATTATAACTTACTTACGAAACATATATATATGTATATACATATACAACTTATAATCTCAATACACCTTCCATTTTCTGTTTTTAATCAATTTTTATCATAGAGATCGTATTTTTATTTAGTTTTAAGTTTATTTAATGCTAAATGTTTTCAACTGCGAAATCGTTGTACTTGATTCTGTTCTCGATCATGCTGTATTCTATTCTTTGTTTTTTGTCTTCTATCTGTTGCCTATTCTCGGTTTTGTGTACTCTGTTTTTTGTTTTCTCTTGTCTGTTCTATGTTCTCTGTTGTCCATTCTCTGGTCTGTTCTCTGTTCTGTCCATGCCTTTCTTCTCCGCTGTGTTTATCGATTTAGCTTCATGAACTGGAGGGCAGTTCGTGGTGATCCGGTTGATGCGTAAGGAACCTGTTGCTGACATTACTGCTTCCATTGAGATGTTCTGACTCGCTTTTCACTCCCGCCGCGCCGGTGGCCAGCCGGAAGGCTGCCTCTGTGTGCGATCGCAGGATCGCCTCCGCCTGATGAATCCGCAACGCCGTCTCCGGATCCGGATGCAGGTGGTGAGAGGCGGTGTGATGTGGATGGGAATGGGGATGTGGGTGACTGCTACTGCTGGTGGGCGTCACGGCATGCTGCGAATAGTTGGACGTCTGATGATGATGATGTTGCTGATGGATGACATCTATGGGGTGCAAAGAGCCCAAGTGAGAGGCGGCATCCTGGTGATCCAGAGAACCGCGCATCATATGAACGTTCATGGCAGCAGGCGAGGATTCGCTTTGCAGACTTGGCACAGTTATATTTGGCGATCGTTGGGAGCGGGCTGAGTTGGTGTTGCAAGGATGCGGATGCCCCAGCAGATGGGACAAATGTGGCTGTTGTGGAACTGGATGCTGCTGTTGTTGTTGCTGTTGCTGCTGATGGTGATGCGGGGGCTGGGTGTGTGGGTTTGTATGGTGTGAATGCGGGTGTGGGTGGTGTGCCTGGGAAAGGTGATCACCACACTGGCACGAAAAAACACGAAAATTATTATGAATATATATCCTTCGGCCCCTGCATTCATTACTACTTACGTGTTGCTGTTGATACCCTCCCGTCGAGCCATTGCTGGATGTATTCATTCGCATGGCCGCCGCCAGGTTGACCACGGCCGCCTGGACAGCTGCACTGGGCACCACAGCGGCGCTGTCGACGCTTCCTCCATCTTGCTGTGGTCTGGAAGCTGCCACGGCGGCTGCCGCTGCCGCCATTAGGGACATCCTATTGGCTACATGCAGTTCAGTGTCCATAGAGTCGATATGTCCATACTGACCAGGATTGGCACTGGGCAAGCGTCGCAGCTCAGTAATTTTATTTAGATTTGCGTTGGAGTTATTATTGTTCAGACAATTCTCGTTCTCACTCTGGTCATGATCCTGATCTTGATCAGAGGTTGTGGAGGATGAGAGGCGTCCTGTGGAGGAGCATTCGGAATTGGCCGATGGGGATGGGCACTTTGAATTGGAGTCATCTGAGTGCCGGGAAGCACTGCCAACTATGGGCAATAGATTTTGGGGTGGGTCTACTCCCAATCTGGAGGCAGTTCCGCCGGAGCTGCTGCTGGCCGCTAGGGTTACCGCTAAGATGGAGTCACGCTCGCGCTGTTCAGCCGCCGCTCGAGACTAAAATACATATTTTATTATAAAATATCTGTGTTTTGTTTTATTACAATCACTTACCAACACATATTGGGCCGCAAACTGGTGCTTTGGATCCATACGCATCGATTCCATGTGAGTTAGAAGACCTAAAATCAAAATGAATTACTTCCTTTTTCGATAAGCCACGTCCCTCAGATTATTTGTACCATTTTCATGGGTGAAGACTGCTTGACAGACGCTGCAGGGCCACATTCGGAGGCTGTTGGCCAGCTGAGAGGTCTCCGCGTGACACGCTAAGTGTTTCCTTAAGGAGCCCTCATTGACATAATGCTTGCCGCAAACTGGACACGGATGGTTCGCCGTTCTCCGCTTGCCCAGGTAGCTATCGATAAGGTTCGAGCCGCCGGTAGCTTGGACACAGCTTGATTCCGAAGATGCGCACTGCGGTTCCCCGCCGCCAGTTCCGGTTCCAGCTCCATTCCCACTTCCTGTCGTTGCCGCCTGATTGATATCATTGAATTGATTACCGGCTGGAAGCAGAAATATTACAGAAAATCTATATATAACTAGCAAAAACACGCGCTTTGCGGCTTAAAAATAAATTTTTTTCCGACTAGAGAATATGCTTTCTACGTTTTCTATGCCTACTGTATATATGAATACCCTTGCGTGGTATAATAATTTCAGTCAGACATTTAAAGAGTATATATTATTGATCAGGTTCAATGTAGTCGCTCAGTTCAAAAGCGATCCGAAGGATACTTTTCAGTTTTCCAGATATTTTCATCTAATTTGAGATATAGCCATCGATTATTAGTCTAGAATTTTCAGTTTTTGCACGAAGAGCTTTAGAGCGCTTTAAGTTGGCGGCATTATAGCATTGTATTTACAAACGCATCATTTTACCTGATCCACTGGGCGTCGGGCTCTTGTTCTTGTGAACATGCTTCATGTGATCCACCAAGGCTTCAGTGCCCAGGAAGAGTTTGTGGCAAACGGGACAGGAGGTGGCATTGGGACCGCCAATGAGCGCCGCATGCTGCTGCAAGACACCAAGATGCAGCTGTAGCTCCTGTGCGAAAATTTGCGACGATGAGTCGAGGGAAGACGGTCGGGGTCAGGCGGGTAAAGGATGTAATAGAAATAGGCGATGAAAAAATGCATTTTACTTGGTTACGATGACGACTTCTACTCACTTTTGATGTATGCGTGCGAAGGCTGGACTCCGTGGCGAATCCTTTGCCACATATATTGCAGTGAAATGGACGATTCTTTGCCCTTTCTACCTGAGCATCATGATTGCGCAGATGTTGCTGGAGGTTCGAAAGCTGGATAAACGCACGCCCGCAATCCGGCAAATGGCATTTGTAGGGTCGTTCTCCTAAGGAAAAATAATAGTTCTAAATTCAAGCTTTCGTATTTTGGGTGGTGCATTTTTCATATTTCCTTTGGTAAATCCATCTATACATTTATGACAAAAATCGTGCTTGTCCTCTTAAATATGTACCTAAGGGGCATTATTTATTGACTGGTTGACTTAATTCCTAATGAGAATTAATAAACGAAGCAAGTTCGCCGTGCAATACTAAAGTGCTTCTTTCTTCTGGTCATTGCGGAGCATCCCAGATACTTGAAGCCAAATTAATTTCATTTCAACGCGCTCAGCAATTAAATAAAAAAGGGCAAGTGGCAGGTCCACCAGAAGGATCTGAGAGATTTTAAGCTACTTAGAGTCACTTTGCAATCTAAGTAACATTAAATACAAATAAATACTCACAAAGTGCAGTCGTGTAGACGTAAATGCTGCGGTTGGGTCTCAGGAGTCCCAGCAGCCCAGACCGAGACTCAACCCTCAAGCTATTCTAGACTTTTTGATATTTCGCACCTTGGAAGTCACGTAGTTACTCCGCCTAAACACCACTTCATTTGACCTGTCGTCCCCATTAAAGGCCCTCAGAAATGCAGTGTGGGTTGCGATGCAGCGCAGCTCCGCTTAATGGGCCTTTGCTTACCATTTATCCACACCATCGCGGCAGCTACACAGAGCGGAAATATTAACAAGTTCCCTTAAGACTTTCGACAAGAGTAAAATACTTATCATGAAGGCAATCGGTGTTAATTTTAAACTTCTTTGGCTATCTAGTTTTTGTACCGGTGTACCGTTTAATAAAACCGGGTGCTGCCGAACCACCGCGCAGTTAAGTATAATTACCAGATCCAACACCTTCCTTGCAAAGGGAAAAGAGTAAGGCCAGGTAAGGGTAACCCCCTGCCGTCCACGGAAAAGGTTACGAATACTGTCGCAAACTGGTTTTCAATTAAAGCGTATTTGATTTCTTGCCTAGTCTTGATTCCAAAAAGATGGAAAAAGAATTAAGTTCACTTCGGCAAGCCGAAGTTCATTTACCCTTGCAGTTATATCGATAACTCTCGGCAATGGGTAGTCGAGTGGGAACAAAAACCAATTCAACGTTGACATACATTTTTCAGTATCAATCCTTTCTCTGGGCTTTTTAACAGACTTTGTTCAATTTTTCGACGATAATGTAAGCATTTTGAAAATATGGAAAGACTCGTTTTTATGAAAACCATGAGATATGGTGGTCTTCTGTTCCAAGCTTGTGTAGAGAGGGACGGAGGAAAGGACAGTGTTTATAAAATATTGGGTCGCATATGTCCGCTTAAGTGCGTTGCAAAGATCTTCGTTAAATCATATTACTCTTTGCAATGGTATAAAAACAATAACAACAGAAAAGGGGGAAAAAACGTAAACTGTTGAAACTGCAATCAGGTGTGAATAAAAGCTCGGATCCGGATACGGAATTAAATTACATTGAATGCAGCTAATGACGTTGAATAATTTCTCATATTTGCTGCCTGGATATTCTATTCATCCCTTCCATCAGGAGCCCAAAGACGAGAATCGTAAAGGCTACCGCCACGGACTCGCGAAAAGCACTCAAGAAGGTTATTAAATTATCTTCGTCATTGGCATTTTCTCTGGCAGCTGCGAATGCCAAATTGTAGTGAAAAAACATTGCTATGGAAGAGCAAATGAGAATAGCAAAAAAATATAAGAAATGGAAAAACAAACAAGATGAATCGCAGGGATAGACACGGCGGATACTTGAAAAAAAAAAATGATCCCAAGGCGGCCAGTCGCAAAGTTTTTAATTCATTAAGCAGAGGAGTCCGAAGCACCAAAGCATTTTTCATCAAAGTCCAAGGTAATTAAAAACAAGAAAGGAAGATAACTTTCGACAGGCCGAAACCTATATACCCTTGCACATTGCAATTCGATCATTAAAAAACCTAATACTCATGTTAAAAACCAATAAAGCAGTCGGAAATGACCAAAATTATAATACACTGCAAAGGTATACAAATAGACTAACAGAAAATGGAGAGGAAGGTCTCTGAGCTGCTATTTTGCTATTTGTTAAACTAAAGCCTATTAAAGCCTATTAACAATTTCCCAGTCAAATTTGAAGCATGTGAATTTTCTGATGACACTTAACCCGTTCAAGAATAGAGCAAACCAATGAATTTGAATGGTATTATGTGGGTAAGCTGATGTGATGGTAGTTTACCTGTGTGCAGACGGGTGTGTTGCTGGACATGCGACAACTGCTTAAATCTACGATCACAGTAGGAACACTTGTAGGGCTTCTCGCCGGTATGCACTCGAATGTGCTGGACGAGCTGGTGGTTGCTGGAGAAGCTTTTCATGCACTGCTGACACTGGTGCGGCTTGGTGTCCGTCCCGAGGCCTGGCGTGCTGCCACCCAGATTAGATGTCCCAGTTCCGCCGCCACCCAAGCCGACGCGTGGTATCTGCTGTTGGATCTGTTGCATAGCGCTTTTGTGCATGAAGAGCTGCAAAAATCAAGTTTTGATATCAGTATGATGAATCAGTATAATAAATCGAAAATCGTGATAATCACTCAATATCGACGCCGTAAGAACCCCATTAATACTGCCCGCGCGCCTGAGGTTATTACTTGCATTTATAGAATTCACTTCAACTCGACATTTTCTTGCCATATAGTTTTTTGTTTGGATGATTAAAACTGTGTAGCTTAGCATGTCTTACAAGTGTTATAGATGTCAGCACAAAAGCGAAAAAATTTTACTATATTGAATGTATATAAGGGTTATATAAGTGAGCTTATTTGCATGCAAGGTCATCACACATTAATGCTGATCTCATATAACTTAAAATTGGTGCCAATAGCAAACCAAAGCCGTATGTAATCAAATGTTAATGTGAACACAACGAACAACTCAAAAATTGCTTCCTTTATGTAGTTTACATCATATCTATATAAATGTATATAAAAGAAAGTCGTGTGTGTTACACCACTTATAACTCAAGAACGGCGGAACAGATTTGGGTGAAAATTGGTAGGGAGGTAGCTTGGAGCCAGGAGACGGACATAGGATACTTTTTATCCCGTTTTACAGAAAATCGGGATACTTATCGCTGATATATAGCATTTACTGCAAACCAATATAAGAAGAAGTCGTTTCCTAAAGGCAACAATATAATAAATAAAGTGTAAGCATTTCTCTTTAAGGTGGTAAGTTGAAATGTGTTATTTATGTGGATCTTGCATTTGAGGTTGCAGTCCAAAAGGACGACGTGCGAACGAACATCACCATCAACAAGTGTATTCCAAGAACTTAAGGGGGTAGACCACCTTAAAGGCCGAAAATTGGAGGGTTTTTCAAAAATTCATTTCGACAAAGTTAGTAAGAATACACCTTTTTATTTAGTAGTACATCAAAGTACATATGTTAAACAAAAAATACTTATTGAAAGAAAAATAAATTTAAGAACGGCGGAGATATAGCCAGTCAAAAAAGGATTTTTTTAGGGAGTGGTCGGATGCTGTACATGCTGCACACCACATTTGTTATCTGAAATTCAAAAACAAAATTTTTTATAAACTATATAAGTATGGTTATAGCATGACGTAGCCGTTTTTGGGAAAAACATTTTTGAGCACTTTGAAAAAAAAAATTTTTTTTAGACGAAATCTTCGATTTAAAATGTTGTAACTTTTAAACAAAAAATCACATAAAAAACCTACGTCATGCCGTAGAGGACGTTATAGAGAAGAGAATCGTCCCGGCAGTTTTTGAGAAATCATGTACACCGTTTTAAAAAACGTAGTTTTGAGAAAAACGTAAAAGAAGATAAAGAAAGTACTCTAAGGTATACCGGCAGCGCTCACTTCTAATGGCTGTAGAATCGACAAGTAATGAGATATTTTTAAGCCCGATGTATTACAATGACCGTAAGAATATTAAATAAATTCGATTTTTAAAAAATGTCAGGGTGGTTTACCGGTCTACCCCATAAGCGAAGAAAGACAAAATATAATAAGGGAAAAATATAATAAAATTAAATTTTATGGTAAAAAAAACTTTGCATGCATTTTCACATTTTTACTTCCGAAAAATCATTACGGAAATTACATATGTATGTATGTATGTGCCAGAGCTGCTCTTAGGTTTCACTTGCGGAAAATCATCATTCACACTTTTATGGTTTTAAATTCAACCTCTTAACGCTTTGCTTATTAGGCCAGTTTCAGTATTTACCCAGAAGTGTTATACTTTTTTAATTTCTATAATGGGACATTCCGCATTAATATAAATCTAGTTATATATAATTTCAAAAATTTATTAGACGATAACATCTCTAAATTTAGATGTTTACTTTAAATGAACTCTGTTTTTGTGTTATGAAGAATATATGAATTCTCGAATGAGTGAAAATAAAAATAGGCCATGTTTATGTACACATGAATTTATGCATGATGCACAACATGATCACTGATTAGTGGTGGATCAGTAATCAGTGATCAAGCTTTCTGCTGAACGCTTATGATACATAACGCCGTCTTAAAAAGTAATCGGCTTGGAAACTATCGTTGTCTTCCGGCTTACCGCCAACAATTATTTGATTTTGCGTATAAGAAAAGAGCTTAAAACAAGAAAGGAAGCTAACTTCGGCACGCCGAAGTTTATATACCCTTGCAGATAGAACTTCTATGAATAAAAAACCATACAATACAAATTATATATCTTTATGTTAAAAAATAATCAAGTAATACCTGCTTTCATTTCATTCACCTATACATATTATATTTGCAGTTTTACATTCACTGATTTGCATTTTTCCTCCACATCAAACGATCGTTTGTATGGCACCTATATGATATAGTCGTCCGATTTTCATGAAATTTACCACAAAATTTAAGACTTAAATTAAATGCCTATACCTAAAATTTGATGAAAATCAGTTGAAAACTGAAAAGGTTATAAATTTAATTGTATTAATTTCTCGATCGTTCCTATGGGAGCTATATGATATAGTAGTCCGATTTTCATAAAATTTTATGCAAAATTGTAGTGTATAGTAAAATGGCTATATCTCAAATTTGATCCAATTCTATTGAAAACTGAAATTGTTATAATTTTTTTTTGTAAAAATTATCCGATCATTCCTATGGCAGCTATATGATATAGTCGTCCGATCCGGCCCGTTCCGACATATATACGAGTGAGAGTATATAGAAGGCTAACTACAAAGTTTCATTTAGATAGCTTCAAAACTGAGAGACTAGTTTGCGTAGAAACGGACAGACGGACAGACGGACAGACGGACAGAAGGACAGACGGACAGACGGACAGACGGACAGACGGACAGACGGACAGACGGACATGGCTAGATCGACTCGGCTGTTGATCCTGATCAAGAATATATATACTTTATATAGTCGGAGGTGCCTCCTTCACTGCGTTGCAAACTTCTGACTGAAATTATAATACCCTGCAAGGGTATAAAAAGAGCTAAATGTTTCTTTTACTGTCCAGACAATAGTTTTTGACCAGACACCTTTTAAAATAATTTGTTTCTTAATGTGGCAGCTCCCTTTTTGAAAAAGACTGGTTTCAAGCTTGTTTTGGTCATTGCCGCATTTACATCACTGCACTTCTCATTCGTGGCTACCAAAAACTAAATTCTGAATAAAGAAAAATAACTATTTTTACGTTTCCATTTTGCTGATCATGATAGATAAAATCTTGCACCATGATCAGTGATCATACGCGTTCAGCAGAACTATGGATAGAATTCCATCAATGATCAGTGATCATGTTATTCTGAATTGAATGTATATTGTTTTTGACTTCCTTCACCTGGGCAACATTACCCAGCATCAATCCAATTCTGTCAAAATATATTTATACCCTTGCAGGGTATTATAATTTCAGTCAGAAGTTTGCAACGCAGTGAAGGAGTCACCTCGGACCATATAAAATAGATATATTCTTGATCAGCACCAACAGCCGAGTCGATCTAGCCATGTCCGTCTGTCCGTCTGTCCGTTTTAATGCAAACTAGTCTCTCAGTTTTAAAGCTATCTGAATACAATTTTGCACTTAGTCTTCTATGTATAACATTACATCATCTTCTTACATCATTTTATCAAAATTAATATATAGCTGTTTTATAAAATTCTACAATTTAGTGTACAATTTATGAAATTTGGATGACTATATCATATATGTACATATGTAGCTGCCATAGGAACGATCGAGAAATTAATACAATTAAATATTGTAACTTTTTCAGTTATTAATAGAATTTTATCAAATTTGAAATGTAGCCCTGTTATATTATTCTAGAATTTTGATTTTAATTTTATGAAAATCAGACGACTCATAATATAGGTGTCATCCAAACAATCCATAGACCCAGTTAATATCACTGATATTTAAAGTATCAAAAAATTATACTAGGTAGAACTTGCAGATAACAGTTCGATCATTAATAACGAATACAAGATAATGTTTTACCGATTTCTTAGTAGAAATGAAAATACATTGAAACAACGAAGGTATAATTATTTTTCTATTCATTTTTCGAATGTTTCTAGGGCAGATATATGGAATACAGGTCTGCTCCCGTTTTCACTTTCGCAAAAATTTACCGATTCCAATTTGAAAACGAAATTCGGTGCTCCCGTTTTCACTTTCACATGATTCTTTCGATTTAATATGGCAGCTCTTTTCTATGGGGGAAAAAAAAATCAAATAAAAAATACAATAAGTCAGTTGTGTAAGCAGCAATAAACGATGAGAAAAATATATATCATAACAAATATTAAGCGAAACTGGAGAACCTTAAAACGAAATCGAACGATTTGGTCCAAATCGAAATCGGAAAAAGTGAAAACCGGAGATGACCTGTATAATTTTATAACTTGTTTTTTTTTTCAGAATATAATAATTTTAGTCAGAAGTTGCAACGCATTTAATTAGTAATCTCCGACTATAAAAAGTATTTATTCTCTTGATCTAGAAAACTAGAAAACTAGTCTCTCAGTTTTGAAGCTACATACATATCTGAATGAAACTTTGAGTTAGTCTTCTATATACATATACTCTCACTCGTATATATGTCGGAGCGGGTTAATACATATGTATATCATATAGCTGCCTTGGGAACGATCGATCAATTCAAAATTTGATTTAGAATTGTCTTTAAAATTGTATGAAAATTGGGCCACCATATCATATATGTATGTATGTAGCTGCCATAGAAACTATCGTTAAATGTAGAGGAAAATGCGAAACTGTAAATGTTAAATGTGTAACTATTAAACTGTAAATACAATAAGTATAGTTGATTTGATTTATGAAAATATAATATGATTAATTTAAGATCTGATTTGTTTTCTCTGTACATTAAAAATGATGTGACCATGTCGTCGGAGAAACACGCCCCACTATGCTCTCTGAATGCCTTTTTTATGTTTTTTTCTATTTATCTTTTTTCTTTTTATACATATACATATATACAAGTCCCGTTTTCTGGCTGCTGTTGGCCGGTGGCCGGTGGCCGGTGGCCGTTGGTTGTTGGCTGATTCTGCCTTTTGGGCCTCTTAAGTCGGCGTTTGCTTATGCGACGATTCAAAGTGTAAAAGGGATAAAGGCAGCAAAGCAAGTCGAAAAAAATGCATTCTTCTCCCGGCAAAATAACAGAGTGGCCGTCGCCTCTGCCAGTAGGAAGCAAACACTATAACCGGATTTAGGGACTCCTCGCCAACCAACCAGAGAGAACCAGCATGAAATTAGTTTTCGCTCTTTTTCTTAGTACACTTGGAAAAATAAGAAATCGTGTTTTAAAGCATTACACTTCCTATAAATTTTCCTAAGGCAAATCTTGTATTTTATTAAAAGTTATTAAGTTATTAATTGAATTTAAATAATTCATTTATTTAAGAAATAGAGAGAATTGACCAACAACGATAATAATTTATAATTTAATACTAATTGGTTTCTAAGTTTTTTTTTGTGAAATTAAAAATCTGTGGTTCGGGACGTGTCCAGTGTCTTTTGATTCTTTAGTTTTAATTTAATTCAAATTCTGGACTACTTTAATTGGGTTAATCTGGGAAATCCTAAAATAATTTGAAGAAATATATATAACAATATCGCATATATTCGAAATATGTACATTGTGCAACCTTGAAATGTTCGATTGAAATGTGTATATCGACCTTCGCGTCAAATATCGATATTGGTAATACAATTTTCAGAATTATTCAGGAGATTGCTTAAATATTAAAATAAGTCCTGCCTAATAAACAATACCATCCAAAGAAAGTAAATGGATAAAACAGGAAAGGGAGAAGAGCGCGAGAGAGACACGACGGGGCTTAGAGAGAGAAACTGACAGGATGGGACGGACATCGAGATTGAGAGAGGGAGAGAAAACCAAGATACCGTCGTATTTATGCTGTTTTTTTTTTTTTTTTTTAATTTCACTTACGTTGCGTTTTATTTTTCAGTTTCAATTCATTCCGTATTTTTTTTTTAATTATACGTTTATGTACCATTACCGTTTCCCCACTCTTCAAAAATACCGACCCCTAACGCAACAGCAATTGAAAAAAAGGGATGGACTTAAGTCCAGGGGACGACGCTCCTTTCTTTCACTCTATCTTAGGGGTAGCGTAGCCCAGAGGAGGCGGTAACCATCGCTTCTTTTCGTTCTCAGTCACACGCTGAGCTAAGGTGAGTGGTGGAGAGGTGAGGGGCATAGTGAAATAAAAATGGTTGAAAAAAATGTGTAGGGGTGGACAACAAATAAGTACATATAAGCAAGTGCCTTCTTTGAGTAAAATTTTAGGTACATACATACATTGTAAATGTAGATAAATGTATATTAAAAATATTCGGTAGACATGTAATGTAATAATAAAATGTTTTGCTCTGATGTACAATATCTTTAGGTATCCGATTTATGGATTTCATTGGAACAGACTAAGGGGTATTGAGAACTTAAAAGCGAATCACCGATCGATTTTCATTTTTTATATAATTATCACCAAGTTAGAAAATGGGTTAAAACTGCATATTAAACAAAGAATAAAATAATATTTAAGAAATTGTGTATTTTCTATAATATTTACAATTACAAACATTTGAATAGAGTGGGAATACTTAGTATTTTTTCCACGCAGTATTAATGTTAAAATAAAAACAAATAGGCTCGTGTTACTAATATGTAGTTGCTTTTAATGTGGGCCAGGTGTGTCCAGTTAAAGAAAGCAAAACACCAAATATATTTATTGTAATTAAAAATAACAAACATGACTCACGCTCTAATAAACAATAATATATGTATATGTATATTCTCCTTGGCCTGAGTTCTATACATTTTACAAAGTAATAAACTTAAAAGTAAATTGAACTAAAAGCTAAATTAAAGGTAAATCAATCTCAGCCAAAAGAGAGACCAGGATCTTGACTGACTCTTCTTCTCTTCTAGTTTCAGATCCATTCGTAGCCAAGCTTTACTGTCTACTATCTCGTGTGTGTGTGTGTGTATGTGTGTGTGTAAGTATGAGTGTGCTCTGGCTGTCGCTGTATGTGTGTGCAATATGTGTGTTTTGACGAGGGAAGAGTACTATACACAACGGAACAGATGCCAACTCACTCGTTGCAGGGTTGACCAACATTCTTCAAGGGTGCGTTCACTGATCGCGGCAGCGCTGCTCGACCGGGATAGCTGTAGCTGAAAAAGAAAGAAATCGAAAGTTGTACGAATCATAAATTAATCGTGTCATAAGTACAATTTCTATAAGCTCCTCTTTTGCCCGGCTAAAGCTAAGCTATAAACATATGCATGTACACATATTTCCTTGTATATAAATTGCAATTGCAACGTTTAATCTCCTGTATTTTTTTTAAAGCTGGAAAAAAAGAGAGAGAAGCTTTGACTTTAAAACTTTTCATCTGACGAAACTCTTAAAAGACGGCCTTGCAAAGAGACTGGGCACAAAGGTGAAATTAATTTGTTTACTGCCAAAAGTTATGTTTTATATTGGGGTGCCTTGGAAAAGTTAGTTTTTTTATTACACTTTATAAAATTAGGTCTAAACCACAGATTTTGAAGGTTTTAAAAGAAAAGGTTTCCGTAAAAAACGATTTGTTTTTCATAAAAATAAGTTTGTCAATAACAAGTAATTTTACATTTATTGTATTTAAAAATGTCTCAGAGCATTTTTCGTTTTTTTATTACTTGACTGTCTTTATATATGTATTTATTTGCAAGGGCGAGTCCTAATTAGAAAACAAACTGCACTGTTTCATACTTAATTTTGGAATATTTTTGGTTCACATCAAATGCAGTGTCCTTCGGCAAATGTTTTGGTCAGAAATCTCGCAGACAACGTTAAGGCTTAGCTTCAATTCGTTTCTTGAACTTGAGCCAAAGAAGACTAGAACTTTTCTTTCTTTCCGAGACAGTATAAACATAAATAAATATGTATAATTGAAAAGCAGAAACCGGTTTTTTTTTGCCAAAAAGTGTGATTAAGACCAATCTCCTACTCTTTATATTTTAGTAAAGGGGGAAAAATGAAATAACAAATGAAAAATGGCAAATAATAGGCAAATTTTTCTCTGCTTTGCTAAAATTAAAACATGAACAATTACATCGTGGTCCTTTTCACAGTCAAGTGTCATTTTGTTTCAACCATAAACGCTTTATCTAAGGTATAGCCGATCGTTTAACGAAACAAAACGAAGCGAAACGGAACGAATACAACACTGCTGTATTTGGAACATTTAATCGGGCTTTTTCTTGTTTTCGACGACTCCGATTTATTCTTTAATACTCAAGACTCGCGGCACTTTTTAGAGACGTCGTCGAACTGGCATAGTTTGATATGTATATATGTGGCCCTGATACATATTTATATCAATGGATGATTAGAATTCGTTTTAACGCGATTGCGACTAGATTTATTGGGATTCAGACGACTTCCGCGGCAACAGAGACTATTAGAAAAACTTTGCTTTGGTTATGTTTTAGAAATCGCGAGCGAGGAGAACACAACCTTACGGTCTGGTGTCCTTTGAACTTCTGCCGGTGCCCCGGTGTGCGTTTATTATCAGCAAACGGGACACTGCGTTCATCAAAGGGGGTTCTTCTTAAAACTATCCTGTTTGTTGTTGCGACGCCGCCGTCGCTGCAGCCGTCGTCGTCGTCGTCGTAGTCGTAGTCGTCGTCGCTGCCCATTGAGGGTCGGGGTTCTAATTCGACGTCTCTTTTCTCTACGTTATATTATTATTGTTTTCCTCGAAGATGTTGTAAAAAGCGGCGAGGAAAAGCTCCCAGAAAAGAAATGAAACATCTTGCGCTCAGCTCTCTCTTTTTTCTCTTTTGGAGCGATGAACTTGCCTTCATACATCCATGGGGCAGAAGGAGTTTTTGAATGCCACCCCACCCCAGCATGCGGCATGTACGGAAACACCCAAACCTACCCACAGAGCACACAGAACACATAGGACTCACAGGACACACAGGAGACGGCACAGAGACGAGGACGAAGGCAACGATTGTTAATAGGAACAAACCCCGGCAATCGGGGTTACTTGAAGAAAAAGCATAGCAAAGTATACACTGAGCAGAAGGATAAGACTCTGTGCCTTCTCTGCCCTGCTCATTTAGTGGCGCTCTCTCTCTCTCGCTCTGCCACTGGCTCTGGCTGCTCGCACTCGCACCCCCAACCCACTGGCATAGGTACAATCTCCTGCATCCTCCGACATTTCCCATTACCCCTCCATGTATTTCATTTCCCTTGTTTTCCCTTTACAAAAAATAGAAAGAGCGCCCAGTAGCCATAACAATCTCTTTCCCACAACTGTTTTTTTGTGTGCTAAAAACTGGTTCTAAGAGCGCTCTTATGCACTTACTTACCCCTTAGCAGCAAAGCTTTTTAATTTCCCTGTGCGAAAAGAGGGGTGTCTAAGGTCCTAGATGAGTATTTATATTTTTTCGGGGTGTTTAGATCAAAACTCTTAGAGACCACACTTGGAAGAGCCCTCACTTGGCCGAAGAGAGAACTTTGAGCGATGGAAGGCATCCGTAGTGAGTGACCTTCTTGTCGAAATATAAGTGGTCAAAAAGGCAGCACTTCGAATTAAAACTTGTGCGCAAAAATATTAAAAAGAAACCCCCTTCAAGGACATTGATTCATACTTTGCTCATGGTAACAGCATCTTTGTCAGAAGAGCAGAAGAGCCTCTCAACAATGCCTTCCAGTTTTCAACAGACTTTCATCAAATTTAAGATATATCCATTTTGCATTACTCTAGAATTTTGTTTGAAATTAAAAAAAATCGAACTACGATATAGTATAGCTGCCAAAAAGAACGATCGAAAAATAATACAATAAAAATAATACTCTATTACTGCCTCTCAAATCTCAAATTATATGAAAATCTGTTGAAAACTGGAGAAGTATTTATTTTTTCTAAAAGCTTTTTGATAATTTCTATGGCAGCTATAGATAAAGTCGTCCGATCCAAAGAGTGAAATATTAAAGCAGCCTAACTGCAAAGTTTCACTGAGAGAATAGTTTGACTAGACGGACAGACTGAGATGGTTATAAATATTATATGGTATATTCATTTAATTTGGGATATAGCCATTTCATATTATTCTGAAATTTCGATTTAAATTTTATGAAAATGGGACGACTATATCAAATAGGTGCCAAACCAACGATCGTTGGATATTAGAGAAAATGCAACACCATGAAGGTAAAACTCTAAGTATATGGCATAAGGTAAGAATGTAATGACTGTAATGAATATTACCTGAATATCGTTGGCCATTTTGTCCTTATTGTATTTCATTTCAGGCGTCGAACTGCCGCCGGAGGGCGTTATTGAGTGCTGCGGCGACTGCTGCTGGTGACTACTGCTGATGATCGTCGTCGGTCCGGACTCTGAGCCCGGTCTCCCCACCGAGTCCCCACCGGCTGCTCCGCAGTCCCCTCCGGGGGGTACTGGGGACAGGGCACCCTTGCTGCCTAGTTCTGCCGGCGCTTGTGGACATCCTCTGCTGGTTAATGCCACACTTTGCTGCGACTGCGACCCTGCATCGGTGGTGGAGCCCACACTAGCCGGTGTTTCCGTGGCCCCGGGTCCTCTATCATCATAGAAGTCGCCGGCATATGTCAGCTGCTGCTGCTGCTGCTGCTGCGGCTGAGGCTGCTGCGGCTGGTGGCAATCGTTCAAGGACGACTGCCGACCTGTCTTGGACTCGACCTCCAGCTTCGGTTTGATCACGCACAAGCCATAGCTCTGCTTCTGATCCCGCAGCGGCGACGCCAGATTGTTCTGCATTGCAGCAGTGGACTTGAGGTGAGCAGCCGCCGCAGCAGCGGCAGCCGCGTTGAACAGAAGGTGATGGTTGCTTAGTTGGGGAGCGGGGTCCTGGTCGCCATAGGGTTGCTGGTGTTCCGCCTGTGGCATGTGCTGTTGCAAGTTGTGGTGATGGTGGTGGCTGGCTTCGAGCTTCTTCGCCGGATCCTGGTCGGGCCCGGAGTCCGGCCCGGTGCCGGCAGCAGTCCCGTCCTGGGGATGGATGTCCGACAAGAGATCGTGCTCCTCCTGCAGGATGATGGTCGAGTGCATGGTGCTATGATGGGGGTGGGAAGTACTTTGGCTGGAGTTGTACTGGTGCAGTGCTGTTTGCAAGCCGAACGGAGCGCGAGCCTGTTGCCAAAAGTCAGCAGCATCCATATTCAAGTGGGGATTGCGTTTGGGATCGAGTCGAGATCGGGGTGGGATTTGGAATCGGGATTGAAGGGGGAGATGTTGTCTCGAACTCAAATCCTGCCGAACTCAGATCTTTGGGCGTTGCCTCCCCAGTCCAACTGGTTTCTTGGGACCTGTTAGCTACAGCATCCTTATATCCTCAATCTCATATCAGGGTCTGAAAAATGTGTATGTTATTCACGTGTTAGTCTGTGTTCGAAAATGCTGCTGAGAAAGTAGTTGCAATTAATTCAATAATAATAATTGTATTTATTTAGTAAATACATATATATATAGAAAAAAACTTCTGTACATATTTAAGAGTCTGTAAATAAGACTTCTTGGTACCACGTTTCTGAACTCAATGTTTCAGAATGTAATCCCAATTTATTCCTTTCAGTTGCTTATTCCTACAACTAATTTCAATAGATTATTTTAACAAATTCCGTTTGCTTTTTATTTTACTTTTAAATTTAGGTGGTCAATTCTCTTGAAATCAAAAATGGAGCAAATTTGTAATAAATTAATAAGGAACTAGTAATAAAGAAACCTACCTACCCATATCTCCTGAACTAGATCTAAATAGATGATTATGCCCTTCCTTCCTAATTGTCTTAGTTTCCATAGCGGTCTCAACTATATTGTTATTTTTTATTACAGTTTTTATAATAATTATTATAATTATTATTATTATAATTATAAATATTCTAATTAATACTGTTATTAATATTGTAATTACTATTGTAACTATTATTTTTATTATATGTTATATTATTACTTATAATAATATATAATTGTAATCATTATTATTATTATTATTGTTATTATTATTATTATTATTATTATTATTATTATTATTATTATTATTATTATTATTATTAGTATTATTGTTATTACTATTATTAGTATTTTTACTTTTCTTGCTTATATAATTATGGACTTGTCAACTATATTGTATTAGTATGATGCATAATGCCGGGAAACGCACAATCATTGGTTAATAGGTAGTAGTTACAATTCGCAATTTTGCGATTAGTTGTGCACCAGAATTTGTGTATAGTTATTTAATTTCGTTTCTTGGTTTCCGATTCTTAGCTCACAATTTGTTTTGTCGTTTAACATGCTTACTTTTGAACAGTTTTTGAATATAGTGCATGGTATTTTGTTCGAATTAAAAACATTGGCACTTCTTTACCTCGTTTTCTTAAAACTTGCTTACACATTTGTAAGAAGTCTTTGAGTTTCAATTGGTAAATGACAACGAGCTCATGGCTCATATAGTTCACTGCCCAAGACAAATTCGGATAAAAACAGCAGAATCGCAGAAACGAACTCTTGAGAACAGCTGAGATTATTCCAAAGTGTTTGGTTGCCAGTTACGAACTAAAAGATAACCTGGCGGAACGCGAGTTGTGGAAAAACTAATTTTGCCGCCGCCACCGACCAAGTATAAATATGACGGTGACTGTTGCTGGGGTTCAGATAGTAGTATGTCTCGCGTTTAGAAATAGAAAACTTGTACACAAAAGCCGGAGTCGAAGACATTGCCACGTCGCCCATCGTCGTCAACGTCCTCGTTGGCGCGGCGCAAAGTAAGCCAAACGTCTTCGTTTTCCTGGCATCAGCCGCTAGGACCTTCGGCGCAATACATATCACTCGTCGTCGTCTTCGTAGCCGTCTTCGTGTCGTGTCCACCAAGCATCCTTGCCCATGCTCAGTACTCGAGGATGGTATCCTTCTCTTCTCTCTTTCAGCGCGCTCTTAGTCGGCGAAACTACTATTTGTGTGGCAGACATGCAGCGAAATCGAAATGAGCACGAAGGTTGCCTGCGATCCTTGCGTGCAGAGGATAAAAGCTGGCTACTACATTTCCTATGCCCACAACTAGACACACAAAGGAACATTATAAAGTGATTATTGAGCTACAGCCACCCGAGAAAAAAGCATCTTCGCCTCCAAAAGGTATACATATATGTAAACTTAAAGGGATCTCAGTCTATAGGAGATTCAGCTAAGTTATAAAATATGCCAATTGAAATATGAGACCTGTACAGAGTAATCATTTTCAATATTGGGGTTAAGCACGCTTCAAATCATTTGATTTAATGCATAGTTCAGATTCGTCTACTGCATACGTACATATATATCGGCCGATCTATAATTAATCGAAGGAATAATGAAAAAAATATTAATTTGACAAACATATAAACCATATGTTATGTTTGTCTTTGCAATAAAAAAGAAAAAACTGTAATTACGACCTTGATACTTAAGTACAGACACCTATTTATTTCGTATTTTCCGTATTTTTATTTGAAAACGAGAATTAGAATAATAAATAAATTTTGATATTCAACTAAGTGGTAAATTGTATGACTTATAAGGTCTGTCTTTGGTAAGTGATTGAGTATTTACCTGGATAATCCATTTGGATCCTGCCGCAGGCCTATGAAGGTGGCATACCTTGTCTTTAATTATTTACTGATTTACTGCTACCGGTTGACCTTCTGTTTCTGTGTTTTTTATTATTTTTGTAATATATATATTTTGCATGAGTTTGAAACATAAGGCCGGAATAAGGCACACGGTTACGGAGTCGCGAAATATTGCATTATTCGCCTAAAATGTTCTCGGTTTACGCTCAAAATTACAAAATATTTTCTTTTTATGTTCGGATTCCGGTTGGTATTGGTTTATAATTAAATTTTACAATCACAATTTGTTACCCGATAACTTCCTATGGTTTACGCTCTCTAAATAATTGATATTGATTTTTAAAAAAGTTGTTCGTTCTCTTCGATAATTGTTTATTTAGGGATATAAAAATATAATTTTGATGCAATAATTTCTCCAAATGCGGTGTAGAATAAGCCGATCAATAAAAATATGTCAAGTCTATCTCCTTTATTTGATCGTTTATCGTTTACAAGTAATATTTTCGTGACCGTTCTGATAATATGATATACTGTTTGGATATTATTTTGTATTCCTATATGATTATTTGATATAGTTTTACTTATTTATCTTTATATCTTCTTTGTGGTTTTTAATTGATTTTACGAAAAGTATTACTATACACTAGTTTCTTCTGGAGACGTCTAGTTGACTAGGAATGTGTCAAATGCTAGCTGTAGGGTATGTGGTATTCGTATTTCAAACTGTTTGTTCCGGTGTCAGTGTGTCTGGTGATTGCATTCAATTGTTGTATGATGTTGCTGTGTGAGAATTACGTTTTATTGTTAATTTTAAATTCCAAAATCGCTCTGATTTTATAAATGCCAAGATAGCTAGCTATTTGCGTCAGTACGAAGATTATATACAAAAGAATGTTCTTTACGTAGTAATGCTGGGTTCCTTGTAAGTATTTTTAAAGGGTATATTCTTTTGGTTGCTTGGATTTTTATATATGCTTTTCCTTGTTGTATTCTTTTTGTTTTGTACTTTTGATTTCAATTTTGCAACTTTTTATACGGTTGTAATATTTATTCTCTCGTTTTCGTTAGTGGAACGCTTTATTTTTGATGGCTTTCGAAGGGTTGGCTTTTTCGTTGGTCGTGGTTTTTGTTTTTGGTTGGTTGGTTTAGTGGTTTATTGGTTTTTATGTTTTTTAAGATAATTACAGTTGATGAGTACATAAATCAGATAATTAATTGCATCTGTTCTATTGCTTATATAACTGAAAGATGGTTGAGTTGTTGGATTGATTTGATATCTTAATACGGCTATTAGTATTAATATTTCATTCAAAAACGTTCTTTGGTCTATTGTTTTTGTTAAAATTATGATGATCTGTAAGTAAATTGAAAGAAAAAATAGATTGATATAGGTTTAAACTTGGACTGCAACTGTGTTTGCAATAATATTCTCAATTCACTGAATCCACTTAAGCTTAACACGATTTATGTATTTTTATGCACACATTTGATAAATAAAAACGCTGCGCGAGGGTCAGGACGATCCGCAGTCTGTTGTTCTACTCCATGGAATATTGCTTCTGTGAATGCCAAAATGCCGCATTCGAAAAAATAATTTGAGAATAAAAATCATCATCATCATCGCCGACTCCACGAGAACACCTACGTGGCAGGGGGAAGAGCGGAAGAGCTACTGGGGACAGGCGGCGGCGGCGGCGACGGCGGCGGCGTTGCCTTATTATAAGATAAAAATGTTGTGTGCGTTAAACAAAAAGCGACAGCAACAACAATGCAATGCAAATGCAATGCAGCGGATACGGGGACCAGGTTCTTGCACTCGCTCTGCGAGGGGCAGCGGCAACTTCGGCGCCGGCGCTCTTGGCAACAACTGCAGTTGCAACTGCAAAGTCAGTTGTGCTTTCGGACACGCTGCAGCCCGACACTGTCGGAAAATACGCCTGCGTCTTGGTGTGGTCTAAGCATTTCGGTTAGTTTCGAGAGCGAATGCAATGTTTCCACTAACTTTCAATAGCTTGAAAACAGGTGAAACAGTTGTTCAGAATGCGTTTTCGAGTCCTTGGGCTAACTTTTGGGGAGACTTAACTGAACGCTCTCCGATGCGTATCGCTTCAAAGTGCAAATTCATAAGACTCTCTATCTTGACGCAGTGAAGCTCTTTTGGTTTCTCTCAGTGCAATTGCATCGGTTGACGCCAACGCTGTGTCGATTAAGCCCACAGACGCGATTCGCTCTTCGTGCACTTCAGTGTGTGTGTGTGTGTTGGCACTAAATATGTCTGACCCATGCCACACGCGTTGCCAGATGCATTTAAATTGCATCATCATCCCTTTGCGCCACCCCGCGAAAATGATTACTCTCACACACACAGAGCACACACACAAAACGCACAACGCACAACGCACAACGCACGGCGACCAAAGGCAGGGGTGGCAGAAGTGCACTTTTCGGTTGCATTCGTTCGCGTCTCTCCGAGTTGCATTTCCGCTAGTAACATCCCTTATATATATATACATATATATATATGGCTGCGATATGGCAATGATGACCACTGCAACCACCACCCAAAATTAACCCCAACCTGCTCGCTTCACTCCTTCCGTCCTGCTGTCCTGCTGTCCTGCTGAAACCACGGCCAGAGCCATGAGCCTGAATTCTGAACCTGGTGGTATGCAAATTTGTGCATGATTTAATGTCTACTTCAAGGCCTCCGCCTGGCCCTCCCCCCGCCTTTTTCGTCCCTTTTTCGCACACGTCCATGGTCCTATTTGCTGTCTAGCTTATGTTTATACATTGCACTTTGCTTTGCATGTGTGTGTGTGTGTGTGTGTGTGTGTGTGTGTGCCTGCCAGATCTGGATGCATTTCCGGTGCAGTTCGTGTTTTCCTATATACAAGACACACACACACTTGTGCATGTGCATTGCATCTCTGGTAGCAGGAGCAGCAGGAGTACATATGCACATTCCAAACCCTTTGGGTTTAGAAACTCTGTGTGTGTGTCTGCACACCTATATATATATTTATATTAATGTACAAACACACTTACGTACTTACATATGGATATCGATGGAGAGAGGCAGTCTAACGCCGTTTTGTGCCGGATGTTTAATCGATTTTCCTTCAAGCATATCGACCTCCATCGATTTTCGTTCAGCTTTTTTCCAAAGCTGTATTGCAGACACGTCTTAAGGCTGCTTCTAAACAAAAAAAAGAAGGAAAAACACAGTTACAGTTACGTAAATCCTTTCTGCCATTTGTATATTTAATATTTAAACATTAACAGTCTTTTTACCTCAAAAAGTACTAGTAATATCAGCAAGAAAACATGAAAGGAAGCTAATTTCGGAACGTCCAAGTTTGCAGATTGCAATTCGATCAATAATAATTAATACAATATTAAATATATATGTAAAATTATGTTTAAAAATAACAATGTAATATTATTCATTATATTTAAAATTTTAAAGCTACAGTTTTACCTTTACAGTGTTGACTTTGCCTCTACATTTAACATTTTATGTAGTCTGATTTTCATTTAATTAAACCCCAAATGCCTAAATAATACAAAATGGATGAAAAAATATGCTGCAAAACATTGAGGTAATAATTTTTATTTCTTGATCATTCCTATATCACCTACATGAAAGTCGTACAATCCAACCCGTGCCGCGTGAGTGGGAGTATATAGAAGACCAACTGCAAAGTTTGATTCAGAGATACCGACTGACAGGCGGACAGACGGACAGACGGACATGGCTAGATCAACTCGGCTGTTGATGCTGATGACTCCTTCTCCTCGTTACAAACTTCTAACTTAAATTATAATATACTGCAAGAGAATAAAGATGTGGCAACGTTTTACAGATGTTCGGATGCATAATTTAAGAAAATAATTTTTTTTAAGATATATGCATGCATGTGGTATGTACCAATTAATTTTTAAAACAAGAGGCTGTTTGCATTTATTGTTTATTTTGTCGACTCTTTAAAGGACTTTCACAATTAAATATGTAGGGACATACATATGTATATATGTACATACTATAAAGGCGCATATGTACTTAAGTGCTCAAGTAGTAAGTATGTACCTACATATATGCCTAGGTACATAATTATAGTACGTGTGTTAGTGTACAGTTCAAATGAGCAGCTTGTGTACAGACACGTGCATGTACATATACATGGGCATGTCCGTAAATGGTATATACTTTACCCGCAAGAATCATACGCATGCATATTTTCAATAATCAGGAGGATGGGCAATGCATGCATGTACTTTTCTGTGTAAATGACCAGACCCGGACGGAACTGTCATCGTATATTGTGAATCTGCTAAATAGGTGATAATACAGAACTTGCTTTGGACTTGTTTTTATTCACAGCAGAGGTTTTTGATCGGTATCAATGTGATCAAGAAAGGAAGCTAACTTCGGCACGCCGAAGTATTTACACCCTTGCAGGTTGCAGTTTGATCACTAGGAATCAATACAATATAGGTTATGTAACTTTATGTCAAAAAACATACAAGTACGATTTTTTCTCTAAAAACATTCCGACATTTATACGAGTGAGAGTATATAGAAGTCTAACTGCAAAGTTTCATTGAAATTGAGATTGAGCTTCAAACCTGACGGACAGACGAACATTGCTAGATTGACTCGGCTGTTGATCCTGATCAAGAATATATATACTTTATATGGCCGGTAAAGTCTCCCTCACAAACTTCTGACTAAAATTATAATACCCTGCAAGGGTATAAAAAGGTATTAGCCTAGCTTCTTAAGATCATCTAAACTGAATATGCTTTGACAGATTGGCAGATCGGTTCGGTTAGCTCTAAACCTTATTGCAAATATATAATATATATATATATATTATACCAGTCGAATTTCTTTTAGTTGTTATTCTTGTTGTTGTTGACCGATTTCCCTGAAATTTTCCTTATCTCGTGTATAGATACACATATCATATATATATATATATATATAACTCATGTTTAAAATTTAATCTTATTCGTAGCGATACAATTAGGCCTAAATGTGCAGAAAAAAAAGTTCCCCGGCCACCATAAGTATGTATTATTTATGTACATGTACATACAAGCATAATG